TATCACGTTAAAGGCATTGAAGGCGTCCTTTTTACCTCAGTCAGTACACACGCCTGTAACAATAAAACTGAGCTCTATCTGATGGGAAATGATTACTTACTAAACCGCTGGTTGGCTCATCAAGGAACAGTATACTTGGACTTGTGACAAGCTCGCACGCGATGCTAACACGTTTTTTCTCACCACCGGATATACCACGGCCTTTGCCTTCCTCAGAACCAATGAGTTGATCCTTGATATGGTGAATACCAAGTTGCTTTTCAACCTCATATACACGCTGCTGTTTGGCTGCCTCACTCATATCCCGAGGTAAGCGGAGCAATGCACTGTTCAAGATGGTTTCGTGGACTGTCAAGGTAGGTAGCATGGTGTCGTCTTGATCAACGAATCCAACAACTTTCCTATACTCGCTATCATTGAATTTTTCACCATTAACATATATATCGCCGTGAACGATACCCCGTTTATTCTTTCTGGCGAGAATATCCAAGAATGTTGTCTTTCCTGCACCAGATGCTCCCATGATCGCTGTGACCTGACCGGGTTTCGCAACCCCACGAATACCCCCGAGTATTTGTTGGCCGTTGATATAGTAGGCGATATTTTCAAACTGCAATGCTGCCGGCTTATGGTCTGCCATGAGCTTTGAACCCTCATCATCGGAATCATCAGCGAGAGAGCTGTATTGATTGTAGACCTTCCGCCTCGATAGGTACCAGATGAGGAGTATGACGCCAACAATGAAAAGTGAACACCCGGCGATAATTCCAGCGATGAGCGGAGTGTTGATAACCTTTACTGGTGGCTTGTATCCCGGTACCGCTGTCTTGTATAAACACTCGCTGGACCAGCAGTCTAATAGAATAGACTTATCACCGAAAATATCCGTTATCACCTTATCGATGACAGGCTCTGAGAACGCACTTCCATCCTTGGAACTGTCGCCTTGGGTAGAGGTCGAAGTAAACTTAGCCGGGCCCGTAAGCTGTCCGAACAGTGGTTCTAAGCTAACACCCGTTTTCTCGCATAGCATTCGATCGGGAACGCATCCACACTTAATATTCTGGCACTCGTATGTCGTGGTATTCTGATTAGCCGTTATTTCCATATTCCATTTGCATTTATCAAGGGAGCAGTAGAATGACTCCAGTTGATCAACCCAGACTAGCCAAGCCGAAGCTGTTAGCTCTCGCATCAAGTCATAAATACTACATCAAATACTTACACTGAAAGTTGCATGTCTTGTCTTCTTCCTTGCATGAGAATGTCACCTGCGGCTTCTTTTCCTTGAGCATGTCGCGAATCTTTCGGTTGGTGACTTCGCACATTTGATAGTTCTCGGCGATGGTTTCTCCTCCGTTATGGTGCCTATAGCAGACGCCTCCCTCTTTCTCAGGCATCATAGCATTACAAGCATCGTTCGTATCGCACATGTTACAGTTAATTCCAGACCAGCCGTCCTTGCACTGGCAGGATGAGCCTTTGCGAGGAGTTCTGTCCCGTCCATCGGCCAAAGAGCCGCATAACGGCTCAGCACAGTCATCACCACCAAATCCAGGTGGGCAATCGCATTTGCCGTTGAATTTATTGCATTTGCCAAACTGGTGGCATTTGAAGGCATCGAGCTGGCAGTTGAAGCATGGGGGGCATTCTGGCGGTCTGGTGCTGCGGAGAGTGAAGGGGGTCGCTTCAGAGACAAAGTTATCCGTGGTACCGTTGATTTCGTAGCTGCTCGCCTGCCATGTCGACTGTAATGCAGGAAGAAGGGCAAAGAGGCCAAGCAACGAAAGTCGCGCCATCTTAGCCGTTGGGCGAAGGAGGCGAAACAAACAGCAGTAGAGGCCTCACGGAGGTTCAGATCAGGCCATATGATGGCATTAAAGCAGTATATTAGTTAGAATATTGTGCCGGGACTGCTGGTAATAACGGCGCTTTGGGTGTTCGGCTCGAAGGCGATGAGCTTGTCTGCCTAGCTTCGGCGGGTAGATCGACGGCGATTCGGGTGTTGCGCAGGCGCACGACAAGTTATATCCTCAGAGAAGAGAGCTAGAGCTTAGTCTGTATAGCGCGAAATGTATCGGGCAAGCCTGACGAGCAGAGCGATGGTGGTGTTGGTGAAGACAAAAAGGAGTATGCGAGAGAATGCGGAGAGGAGGAAGAGGTTGGAGGATGTTGAGGTTTAGGCGCATCCGCGGTGACGTTGTTCCGTTTTAACTACGCCAACCTTCTACCAAAGGCTCTCCCCCTACCAACGGCGGACATAATTAATGAATGTTGTATTAGGTAGACAGTGATAAATATCTATAGCTAATGCTGATGTGTATATATAAGGAGGAGACTACGCTAGCTGCACAGAAGGCAGTCTAATAAACCAAACGGACAGCAAGACGAATATGTGAACGACACCCGATCCAAAGAACGGCAATCCAGTCCAGGCCGGCGAGCCTAGATTGAGACCTAGATTGAACAGTCCTGCCAGAAATGGCCCGCCTATAAGTGTTCCCAGCATGATGATAAGTGAGACGACAGAGTATAGTCTTGCAGAGTATTTCGGGTCGACAAAGGACGATATCAAGCTGAGGCAGACGGCGTTAAAACCGCAGCCAAGGGTATATATTGCTACCGCGCAGACCATGATGACGAATGTAGGGGAGAATCCAATGGCGAAGCTCCCTATAGTGAGAAGCACGATGCTAATTTTGGAAAGCCACAGGTCTTTTGCATTGCTGGACAGGCCAAGGGAGTTTGATAAGAAGCTCGAAGAGAGAGGGAGAACGAGCAGGAGGAGAACGATGCTGACGCAAGCCATGAAGGAGTGGACGAAGCCAGCCTTCGAGATGGTGATGTCGTATCGAGTGGATGCATATAGCAATAGCAGATCGACTTGCTTTCGCCCCAGCGTTGAAAGGAGGAAGGTAGAGAGGATGAGTGGTACGGTACGGTTGTTGAAGATGATTTTGGTTTCCTTCCAGGCCTTGGAAAAGAGTGTCTTCAACTTGGATCCAAGGGAAGATCGAGCGAAGGGCTGGCGTTCGTCCAGAGATCCACGTCCAGAGGTGTTATTCTCCGGCACAGGTTTCTGAACCTGCAATGGGATGGTCTCTGGTACTAGCAATATCAGAGGACAGCAGATGGTGAAGAACGCTGTGCCAAGGTAGTAAGGCACCCATGGGCCCAGCTTCATCATCAAAGACGATCCTATAGCTGGTGCAAGCAATTGAGCAACCACAGCTGCTAGAGATGTCTGAAAATAGACGGTAGACCTAAACATCGTTCGTCAGCTGAAAAAGAATAGCCTTGTTAAAAGATGCTCTAACTAACCGATTCGCCTCATCGACGACGTCCGATACCATGGTCATAACCATTGCATTTGACACGCCGGGCCCTCCGCCTATGAAGGCGAACATGCTCCCGATCCAGATCGCCTGAAGGGGTATGTATCGATGAAGCGCGCAGACCATCAAGGCCCAGAAAGCACCCAAGAGGATACCGACCATGGTCAACCGCAACACAAACCTGCGGCCATATCTAGGATTATCGGCTAGCTGGCCATATGGAAGAAGTAACAAGATGCCTGCAGTAATCCAAGAAAGCAATACAATCAGCTACGGAGTTTCAACATTGGGGGAGAACAACACATGGCAGGGCCTGGTGAGGAATGAGATGAACGAGACGGAAGAGCAGCCAGCGTACTAGGAATGGCATCAAAACTCGCGCCCAAAGCTTGCACATAGGCTACCTCGCTCTGTACAGCCTTTATCTTGCATTCTGACTCTGGTATATCCTGTGGATATGGGAATCGATCTGGATGGTGTTTATCGAAGTAATTGCGGCAGGCAATCAATTCAAAGATGCGAGTCTGCGGTATGAAATCGAAGAACGCAGCAAAGTCTAGCAGGAATAAGATGACAATACACAGAATGATAAATCTTGTCTGGTTTATTTTCCTTCTCACAGTGACGGGCTCGGAAGGGTTCGATATCGATTCAGCGACCTGCTCCTCGTCTGGCTGCAAAAGGGGGTCATCTTGTTCAGCATTCATGACGTCCATCTCAGCGTCCATCCTGCTCACCACTCTATCAATATTCCTGTTTCTGCCTTTTAAACAACTAGGAAGGGCGTGAGGCTGAAGCCCGGAAACGAGAAGACGACTGAATCGCAAGCTGTAAACAGAGAGAGAGAGCTCGGGGACTGGTTTCGAAAAGCTCCTTCAAACGCCAGTCTCAAGATATATATTAATTGGTCTGCCTGCTCCCTACAAGGCTTGTTTTCCTCAAAAAGACTAACGCTAAGATGGTTTACATCACATCCTCAGCTCTGCCGCTTGGCGGAAGAAAGGACGAGAGGAAGAAGAAAAAACGACCGTCCTCGGTGGCGCCTCGTAAAAAGATGAAAAAGTTGGCTATTATTTCTTATTGTTTGCTCTCTTTGTCCTCCTGTTCAAATATATTCAACATCCAAGCAACAGATGAGCCACCGTCTAAGCCTTTGACACATCGTCATCTCTTGCTCAGCTTTGGATGCTTATAAAGCTAAAAAGGAAAAGGCTGAGTGGGGAGCGACTAATAGTACATCAACTATAAATCCCGAGGTGTTTAAGATGACCCAAAGATTCCTATTCCACCTTGTATCTCTTCGGGAGGGAGCGTCAGCCATTCATCTGTGATCAGTTCGAAAGAGGTCTTCCTCGCATCCTGATCCCATGTCAACGCCTTTCGTATAAACCGGAGAAACATGTCTTTCTCTTTTCCTGGCGGTATCGTCGTTACGAATTCCTCAAAGCTGGTTTTTGGTATTGGGGCTTCACCTATATAATTTCCTATTGCCATCTACTGTGTGAGAGGCAATGCCCCATTTAGAGAAAGCAAAAGGAAGCGAAGCTTACCATCTGCATCAAAGTAGGTCGAGAAGAGCGGACTCTGCTCAACCATTTCCCGTGGAGGAAGGCCGAGATAGCCTATGTACTGTGCCATAGCCAGCGGAAGCACGTACTGCCTGTTCACACGGTCTACCGGGTCGAAGAGGTTTTTGCCTTCCATCAGCTCTAGCGTCTATATTCGAATATTTTAGCTGCGGTCTTAAAAAATACTTTTATGGGGAAATGCTGTACTCACCATAACACCAATGGACCAGATGTCAACCGGGAAACTCCACGGTAGCCCTAAAAGAACTTCTGGGGCGCGGTACAGATCGGGCATCCACCAGTCTGAATTCCCGCATCCTTCAAACTGCCGCATTTGGCCAAAATCGGTTAGAATAGGGTGACCAGAGAATTCAGGTAACGTAGGCCTAGACTTGTAGACGATACTTGAAACAATCCCGTTACCGTCTTTGGTGATTATCGGCACACTTGGGTCCTGTGCTTCTTGGTACTCAACATCCTTAAGACTAGTAGTGTCATCGCCAATGTCCATCAGAATGTTCTGCGGCGAAATATCTATTCGATCGGATGTAAATATGTGGGTATTCATTGCAAAGGACACATCGGACGCTTACCCGTATGCACAAGACCACAGATCGTATGTAGCCAGTTCACTGAAAATAACAAATGGTGCACTATTGATTTAACTAGAAGCCTCGGTAGCACTCCGTTTGGGAACATCTCCTGTAATGTGGGGGCACTGTTTCCCTGAGGCTTGGACACGATGCAGTAATGGCGACCAGTTGGGCCGTTGACCGCGAAAATGTCCTGTGCAAGACGTATAAAGTCTAGCCCAGGGTGGTCCTCCTCGGCGAGCGACTTCATGCGTTGGAGCATATTGACCTCGTTGAGAACAGGAGCTATCAGAGATCTTGCATTATCAACCTGCACTGTGGCTTTCAGGGTCTTATATTCTTTCGTTCTACAGATTTGTAGTCAGTAGCTTATAATACCTAAGGGCCGAACGTATAAATACTTCTCATCTGAGGCAAGCCAGACAGTTGAATAGGCGCCATAACCGAGTTTGGCAATTATTCGATATCTATCATTCAAAAGCTGTCCAATTTTGACCGGATAGTAGTCCTTTTCATAATAGAACGGTAGGGCTTGCTCTTCAATTGCCTGTGTCGCCATCGTACGAGTCAGTTGGCGAGACAGCGGAGGCCTGAATATTGAGATGAGCGGGAACGATGAAGCTATAACTCCCGCTCTCAGAGGCGCCATTTCTGTCTCTTTCTCCTTGCAGCTCAAGTAGCCAGCTATTCACATTCCCGGAGCTGGCGGTCCCTCGAGATGCCAAGGGCGCATAGCACTTTTGAGGCGTTAGCTGATGCATGGAATAGCTTCATGACATCGCTGGCTTAAGTAACGCATGTCTTGATACCACGATTCGGTTCTGGCATTAGTGCTGGCATGTTGATAGAGTGCTTCATTCCTCGGGTCGTATCTAATATATTCTCAGGCTTTTAAGGCTTCGAGGCTCTGTCGGAAGCGCAGGCATACATATTATTGATAGCTATAGTTACATCGTAAAATAAAATAAAAACGAGTTGATCCTTGCTAGCGACAAACTGTTTTTATGCCTGAGGTTGAAATCTTTTCGGGCGGAAGACCTGGCGAAACCCAATCGGGTAATTCCCACAACTTTCAAGATCTCCACGCAACAACAACAACAACTTCTTCCTCTCCCCTGCGCAAAGTCTCAACTTCTCCGGCTCTGAATCTTCTCGCCCTGCAACAGAGACACAATAATCGATCCTCGACCAACCGACCAGCCGACCTTTCCTGCCTTGCTGTCCGTAAGCCCGTGAGTCCAACTCCAGCCTCATCTCCCATCTGATCCCTCATCCTCGGTTGAGCACTCTTATACGGGGCCGACGGCGTGATCTCTCCAGGTTATCGTTTAGTCTAACGTTCTGTGACTGTGTGGGATAGTAGGCTTGTTTCTTAGCTCCTCCATAATGTCGGGAGAAGCATGGCTATACCTCCTAGCTGTCCTCATCAATGCGGTCAACCTCTTTCTGCAGGTCTTCTTCACGATCATGTATAGCGATCTAGAATGGTGTGTACTCTTCTTTTATTCTGTGAAACCTGAAGACATAAGAGGGCCCTCTACAGGACTCTCTAGCAGGCCCACCTCTGTCTTGAATGTACACTGGCTGACTCTACTTTCATTATTAGCGACTATATCAACCCTATCGATCTATGTAACCGCTTGAACGCCTATATCATTCCTGAAGCTGCTGTCCATGCCTTCTTAACCTTCCTGTTTATTATCAACGGCTACTGGCTCACAATTGCACTCAACTTGCCCCTTCTAGCATACAATGCGAAGAAGTATGTTCACCCCGCAGCTAACTGCACAGCTGCGCAGGCACCCATATACCCCTAGCATTTCCACCATTCGGTCATGTGGAGATCTCCAGGCTAACAATGTATTCTTTTCCCAAGGATATTCGAAAATCAACATCTCCTCGATGCTACAGAAATTTTCCGAAAGTTGAACGTTCATAAGAAGGTACAGCTTCAAAGCTCGTCCCTCTCCCACTGAGCAATTATGCTGACCCCACTGTCTCTCTAGGAATCATTCATCAAACTGGGTTTCCACCTAGTCATGTTCTTTTTCTACCTTTACAGCATGATCGTTGCCCTCATCCGAGACGAAACCAATTGACTACGTGATAAGACGGCTCACGCCATGCAAAACGGTCGACCGCGATATTAAAAATCACCAGTTCAAATGTTCGAAACACACATACACACATATCACCAAATAGCAACGACGGAGTTACGACGAAGGCGGTTTTATTGGCTGGCTAACTTCTCTTTTGATCTCACGAGTCCCAATGTTTTTTTTTTTTTTTTTCCAAAAAAAAAAAAAAAAAAGGGATTCGAAGCGCCTTTGTATTCGACGATATTCTTCTTCTTTTTTATGATAATGCTCACCAGGAGTCCGTGTACAAATCAAAACCCTGACTAGACTTGGTGGAGATGAGAAATGCGAGAACGATTCCCGACCCTCCCGATATATTCCCCCCCCACCTTTCTTGTCTTATGAGAGATCTCGAATATTGCCGATCCCCTTCGTTATCTATTTTTGCATCAACTCAGTCGTTCGTTCACTCGCATGTAATGCTTAGCCTAACTGTGCTCGTTGTCTGTTACCTTACTCGGGCACCGTTGCATTGCGAAATAAGGAACTCGACCTTCGGGACCAGAGCCTCAGAACAACATACATTGTAATCATTTACTGGCTGTTGCACCCTCCCCCTCTAACCTCTAACCCGTTTATATAACAGATACGTTAGAGAACTGTGAATAATAAATACATATTTCGAGTGATTGAGAATTTATTTAATTTAGTCTGTCTGTCTGTTGATGAAGTGTAGATGCCACATGGGAAAAAAAAAAATAGGGGGAAAAGAGCCCTTCTAAGTCAAAAAACGCTTCAAAGAAAAGATTCCCAGCATGTAATAGCAATTTCTGATCTCGCCGTATTCTCTCTTGTCTTATAACTGTATTATCGAACTTTTGCAGGAAGAGGAAAAAATCGGGTAAACGTCATGGTGTAAAATAAAAGAGAAAGTGGTTACTATCGAAGGAAACAGAGAATTGGAAAAAAAAAAAAGAAAGAAATTAATGAAAAGGAAAAAAAGGATGGAAGGGAGAGAAGGAAGTCAAAAAGTATTTTAACAAGAAAGCAAGCGGTGACCAACCGGTGACAATAACAAATTGTAGCATGGATAGCTGGAATTGAAAACAACAAAGCCCAATAAAGACTGTATGTATCGTAACACCTTTCCTCTTTTTTTTATCCTTTTTTTATTTTGAGTATGTTCCTCCTCTTAACTTGGCTTTCGTAACGTTTCGTTGTGTTAGTTGGGTGGATGGATGCAAGAATGTATGTAGAAACGAAAGTGTTGGGTATAAATTGAAAGAGTGGATGAACCGTGTCCAAATGGCTTCCAAGGTATCCGGATGGCCGAGGGTATGTGAATGATCCGTTATTCGTAAGTTTCAAGATTCTATAGGGGTACTTTAAACCAAAGGTTTGAATCTCGGAGAAAGGTAACAACGGTATTCACAGTCTCCAACAACGCCATTGCAAATTAATATTTCTAAAGAAAAAAAAGGGGAGTCTGTTCGTGTACCAAGATGCAAAACTGAGCAAGGAGTATCATGTTATCAAAGTGACATTTCTGGTAAGCGAAGGTGCAAATTGAATAGGTAAAGGGGGCCGGAGCTATGGCGATATCGGCGTTAAGTAGAGTGTGTACCCTTAGGAATTAAGCGACAGGCTGTGGAATTGGTTAGTCCATTCATTCTGAGCTGGGTGAGCCCTATGGCCGCCCACATTAAGTCGGCCAAATTCAGCAGCATTAGGGTCCATCATGCCATAGCTGGGTTGCGGGTATGATGAAAATGGGTCGGTTTGGGGTTGAATTCCGGCTCCAAACCCAGTATCGGGTTGTCTAGCAACACCGAAAGTGTGGTATGGATCTAAATAAGGTGGACGCATCCCCGACTGCACAGAGTCCCTGTTAGCGGGATCGGAGTATGGGCCTGATATGCCTTGATTGATACCGCTATACTGCCCAAAGTCAGGCTGTCGACGTCGGTCAGCGTGGGCGTCCTGCCCGTATCCCATTAGTCCAGCATTAGGGACGGGGGCTGGTAATCCAGGAGAAGGAGTGACGAATGAAGCAGGATTGATGGCGGACATCCAGATACGTGTCTTGTATATCTTGAAAAGGTCTGTCACCAACGAATTAAAATTGATGTAAGAGTCAGCAAAGTAGTAGAAGGTCAGCTTCTTCCAATCCCTATAGTCGTATTAGTAAAAATGAAGCAAATTAATAGATGACAATAGTTAAACTCACATTTGGAATTCAGCGTCCAGGATTTCCATGTTAAGACGGTGTTCTGCCACCTTTTGCTGGCACACCCGTTTGGCCTTGGCTTCATTCCCTTCCTTATCACGGAGGGTTTGGATCTCGTGATTTTGAGCCAGTCGTTTAATCAATTTAGGTTTTATTTCCGTGGCTTGTGGTTCTTGGGACGTATGCTGAGATTGAGGACCCATACCCCCGACTGCGCTACCTGGGGCGCCACCTAAAGCGGGAGCTCCACCAGGGTTGATAGGCGCAGTACCGCCAGCCTGGTTCTGACGCGAGAACAACATCAACCATTTATAATGTTCCTCAGCATAATGGTCCTTGAGTTCTTTGGCTTTGGCCCAGCTAATATTAGCATGGGCAACAGTACCTAAATCAGTGCCTCGGTCAGCTTCGACGATGACAAGCTCCCCAGCTTTGACTTCTAGCCCAGTGCCCTCTTGGATATAGAAGACATCTGCTCGGTAACATTTGAAGGTGACAATGAAGAGCTGCTGGTTTTGATGAGGCTGTCCTAGGGCAGCATGTTGGCGTCCGAAAGCATTGGGCATGACGTAAGCTTGGTGAAGAGAAGTTGATATTCCGGAAGATGGGATGGCATCTTGTCCGGGTGCGTACGGTGCTGTTATAGAACTATATTAGCGATAGAGTCAATTTGGATGGGGTGGTGCATTTACCAATCTCCGCAGATGAGGTATTTAAACCATTGTCTGCGAAATTTCCGTCATCACGGGTTAATAGTGAAGATGTCGAACCAGCCGATGCACGGGTTTCGGTAGATGATGGGAAAGATGATGATGCATGTCTCGTCAACGTATCAGCAAAAGAATGGCGACGACTCTGGGGTACATCCGAGACGCTACCGAAACCAAGTGAACTCTGCCACTGAGCTCTTTTGATGTTTTCCAAAGTACGGTTCTCTAAGGATGCAAAGGTAGGGAACTGCTTTTCCAAATTAGTTGAGTGCTCACTGAAGCGTCTGCGTGCATTGTTGCGGGAGTTGTAGCCTGCAAAGCCACCCCCATCGTCCAAATCATCAATGGCGAGGTCAGATTCTTCAGGGACACTGCCTTGTATGGGGTGAAGCTTGTGGGCTTGGGCCATGGAATAGCCGCTGGTGGCAGAGGTTGATGAGAGAGTACGATCACGGAATCTGTTCGCACTTTCAGCTTGGCTTGAGGCAGCTTGACGCAACATTGCGTTCTCCAGAGTGAGTTGCTCGATCGTCCGTGCCTGATTAGAAGCCCAGTTATTATTGCTGGACTCCATGCCGCTGGGGCTAATGTCGTCATCGTCTTCCCGGACACGCCCCAGAGTAGCGGGGTCATGCCCTAATTCCAACAGGCTGGGGCGAGATGAGCGACGCTGAACTGAATACGGTGCAGCAGGCCTATTGCGGCTAAGTGGTGGAGTGGGCTTATTGGAAGTAGCCAGGGGAGGGGGCATGCTGTTCGATTCGGGGTCCAGTTGTCCAACGGAGTATGACTGTGAGCGATACGTTTTGGGGGTGGGATGAAGCGGTATGGCAAATGGGATCGGAGGATCCCCAGATGCTTGGTGTGCGGTAGTGCCGCTCTGATCTTCACCTGAAGTGCTAATCAGGTTCGGGGGGTGGGAACTGGTAGGAGATTGAAGCACCTCTACCATGCGAGAAGGTGGTTCCTTTCGATTTTCAGTGTTCCAAATACCCGTACCCCATGGGAAAGATCCGGTGCCAGATGCAGTTCCCCAGGTAACCGATGTGGTAACCCCGGGGCTTGTAGCAGTGCCCCATGATGCTTGATCTGCTGCGGGAGTGGTAGGATTGGAGCTGACTGGAGAAAAAGAGCTGGTGACAGGAAGCGAAGCTTTCCTCATGAGAGTGCTGGGCACTTCATTAAGCCAAGATGTACGGCGACGTTGGTTTGCTAAGGGTGTGGGTTGGTTTTGAGTCTGATGATGATGATCAACTTCGTCATCGGAGGAAGCAAGGGCATCAGAATCAGGTGTCGAACGGCGGACACCTGGTCGAGTTTTCTCTAACAGTATGGATGCATTGTTTCCTGGTGTATTTGTAAATGCGACGCTTGCGGATCGTCCTGGCTGGCCATTTTTGGTTGAGGCCGCCATATTTATTAATGTGCTTATAAAACGAGAAATGAAGATAAAGAGGCTTTGGTGGGACCGTTGGAGAGGGTCTTTTGATACCGAAACTTCAGTACAGTGATCGTAGGTACTGCAGCTCGTCGAATTATATTTGAGATGTCGGTGAGATGACGTTCACCCAAGATCCAAGTAAGAAATCCCTGGATTTAAAACAAGAGGAGTTGCTCGCATGTGTTGGCGACGATGAGATGTTTCCCTACCATGAGAAGAGAGATTAGAACAGGATCGACCGACAACAGTAAGAATATTCCAAGTCGGTCTCTGATATACGCCACAGTATGACGTCTTTATGAAGATAAAATCCTCCTTTCAATATGTAGACTGTTGCGATAGGTTCGTGACAAGAGACTTGGAAAAACTTCGCGTGGCTAGTAACACTCACACGTGCGTCAACCCCAATCTGGGGAAAGTTGAAAGGACGCTACCCGCAGGTGGCACGCGTCAAGGAAATCACCGAAGGGGCCGTGATAGATTTAAGCTGAGACGAAAAGGCCCATTAGCAAATTATCTCGGGACGATAGCACAACAGGCGGCAATATGTGGATTGCGCAGCAGTTCGTCTGATAAAGAGCCCAAGGACAGACGCCGAATGCGACTGCGACCTACCCCGTAGTCTCAAATGTGTAGTCTAATATCGGAAAGTAGGCGTCGAAGGAGATGCGGATTTGAAAACTACAGATCGATAGCGCGTTAGCACAAGAAGCAGACGACAGTGGTGAAACTGAAGGGGAAGAAGTGTGAATATACTGAACTAAACGGTGCTCTCCCGTCTCGAAAAATGTCTTTCCCCCCAACTCACGCCCAAAGGAGTATATGCACGGCAACAGGATGTTAGAAGAAGACTGAGGCCGTCTGGCACGCGCGACCTGTCAAATAAGGTTGTGGAGGGGTTACAGGGCGACCAGGCCGGATGGTGTGAGTTGAGGCCGGGTGTCTGAATCGTTTTCTCACGGATAAGTGCCGCGTGAAACAGGAATAACAAGTATGAAGTATCCGTATGGTTGACGATGGAAGAGCGCCGACGAGTTCGGTGACGGAGTATCGAGTATATATGAAATACTCAATAGCCGACGAGATCCTGATGTTGGCAAGGCCGGGCCACGATGACAAGGTAGTTAAGCGTCGGCTGATGATTGCTTATCTAGGGAGAAGCGCATTCACCAGCGGATCATCGTGGAGGGTTTCAGCAAGCCGGCGACGATGTGGGAGTGGGTAGCCGTAGCGGTCGTGTGGGAGAGGAGAGCGAGGACGACGGACAGTGTAAGTAGAGAGGGAGGAGCCAGAAGAAACAGCAGAGGTGGTAGCAGAAGTAAGTGGGTGGCGTGAGGCGGCGGCGGTAGATCTGGATGGCTCAACTGAGTCTAAGTCTCGTCTCCAGAAACCCCAGAAATCCACGACGTATGAAAGGATGGTGGCACTAGGTTTGGCGGAGTCAGGAGGTGTGGGCGAGCTCCTCGTTCATCTCTTTCTTTTTTTTTTTTTTTTTTTTTTTCGCTTTCCTGCAGTACTGCTTGCTTGCGTTTGCTCCGTCTTTCTGCTTAATTGCTGGGTCTCTGCTTGCTGCTACTGCTTTCTTTTTCCTTGGTTCTCACTATTCCTTGAACCCTGGGCCCGCCTCGAGCCTAAAGTCAGTCTGGAATCTCTTGATCTGCGCCTAAAACCTTCACGTTGACTCTTGTTCCATTCTATATAAGAGATTTGGTTAAGACCAGAACCCATACCTATATCAGGGAGCCAACTGTTAGGTTGGAACTGACGCTGGCACTAGGGGAGATGGAGTTACCTGAAGCGAAGAAAAAGTCCCTGCTGTCAATCCAGCTTTCGCCCGGCCGGCTTTCTCCCCATTCAGCTATACAAGCTAACCGTTTATATGTGGAGTCTTTTGGACTCAGTCCCTGGTAGTCAAGGCGGCCAAAGCCCTCGCTTCTGGACTCCCAAGTTGGCCAGGGAAGCCACTTATCTGGGAGCACTGATGGCTTCAATAATGGAGGTTCTATGGCGAGGCTCCGTAGCTCTCTGTCTCAAGCAGTCGACTTCGATGGATAAGACGTCAAGGGAAAAGAAAGTATCCAGGGGAGCTGTCAATGTCGAATGTTCCCTTCCCTTCTCTCGTCTCGTCTTCGCTTTGTGCTACAATGATCACGAGAGGGCATATTGCGTCTGTCCGTGGCCGTTGACTTGTCAATGTGCGGCTATATATACCTTCCACCAGCCTTCTTCACAAGTCTTCTCTCTGTAGCTATCGCAAATATCATTTTACCAATGCCTTGGACACCAACTAACTTTCTGAAATCCAAGGTATATGTACAAGCATATGGAGTACATAGGGATAGAATATTGATTCGCCTTCCAAGTAATAACAAAATATCCCAAGCTGTCTGTGAACAGGCAGACAGGAAAACCGCCCAAAATAAAAAAAAAAGGGAGGTCAGTGAGCCTCCAGCCAGACCGTACACTTGCAGCTGTGCCTCCCTGGTTCCAAAACACCCCTCAATCCTAGCCAGTTAGCTGATGTATCTTCAGTATTCTGAAGCAGAGTAAAAAGAAAAAGTGGTTTGACGTTGAAGAAGATGAAAAGTCGGAAAGAAAAAGATAGAAGTTTTCGTTTCCCTTTTGGGCCTCAAGCTAGGGCAAGGCATCCCCACGTGAATGTTCACATGATATATTCCTCTTTTGGGCCTTCGGAAAACGAACTACGTGGTAACTACATGGATTTCATGATATTATATGGCAGTCCAACCTCCGTAGTATACTAGAATAAAGGGGGCTTCTCGGGAGCTTTGGTTGTCCTGTGTCTTTGCTTGACCTTTCCACGCTGCTGTGGGTATTTGCTGCCCACGAAACCCACCATTAACCTTCTTTGATGGTCCAAACTACGGTTCTGCTTGCCCAAAGCTCCCCAAAGCCAAACCCACCAGGTGAGTGAGCAGGCGCGGGCAAACAAAGAATCCTTAGTCGCTTAACTGCTGTGAGGAGAAGGGTGAAAAGGTCTGGCTAAGTCTCGTACTCGACCAGGATGACGACTCCACGACTCTCTGGATGCTTATCCCAGGCCGGCCCACTATTAATATACAATATCAACAAAAACACGCCAAATCAAATGCTCTTCACGCCTAGCTGCCACTATGCCATGCGGCGTAACGGTGTTAAGATTTGCCCTTGCCCACCCTCCTCAGCCGTGGGACGGCCGAGGGCTCGAGTGGGACAGCGAGCTAAGGGCGTAGGAGGGGGGAAGTTGGCGAAGAAGTTTACGCTAAGCAAAACGTTGCTCCTGATCCTGGTTCACTTTCAGTCCAGAGCCGTGGTAGACGCTTGGCCTAGGTAGTCGATAGACCAACCGCAGAATAACTATTCCGGATGACGGCGGGTGCCGCATGCGTTAGCCTTCGTGGCTTCAACGACAGCCGGGGTACTATCAAGGACAACAGCATACTGACACGGATGATGATAGAAGAAATCGAGTCAACACAGATAATAGCCGTCGCCGTAGGTTTGCTCCACTAGATACTGCAGCATGTATGTACATTTGTCGCCATGATACGAGATAAGAGGTTATCAGGTAGGCGATGCTGGAAGCATATATGAGTTGAGACCTCGAATCACATATGGAGTATGAGGGGGTTCGATGTTTACTTGCATAGCTGGCCTGCAGCCACCAGGAAAGGGCCATGTTCTACGATGACAATGAAACGGCACACGCCATGCACCCACGCCTTAGCACCCTACATCCTCTGCCACCCCGCATATTAATCCTATATCTTACTTCGCTGGACCCTCGCCACCCTTTCTAAAATGGAACTCTTGATCGATTATCCGTATCTCGGGATATGAACAGCCCGCCAGCACAGCAGATACACTCTAGGAATAGAAACCAAATGTACCAAGCCTGGAGTACTCCACATCGACATCCGTGGAGACTTGAAGCTGGCGCTCATCGCCCGAGGTTGTATGTATAACCTCGTCTGACCAGGCGTACGCCTTCTTGAGGGATTTTTCCTGCCTTCCACCTCCGCCTCTGCATACATAGTACATCCAACATACGGGATGCGGGATGCACGGAACCGCATCCCGACCAATTTCCGGGCCTGCCAAGTACTCGATACTCATCAGGAGGACGAGCTCTTCAATCCACGCTGATGGGACACCAGGAAGACCGGCCTTTTTCACCGCACATGCTGGTTGCTAGCTATCTAATAGTCCTATCCCGTCTTCGCCCTTCTGGTTTCCCTTCTTTACATGTGTGGTTGAAACAACTCCCCACCCTTCCCCTCAATCGCGAATCCAGCATTGAAAATCGTGGGGTTAATCGTGTTGCATAGGAGCTGCTCTCTCTAGTTATGGCATTACATACCCCCTATCGAGTAGGAATGCATCAGAGACGCTAAAACAAAAGCAATAGGGCCCCGAGATCTGGTATCCGTCCACGCAAAAAAGAAACTAGTTGAACTAACATTTTTAGCATTTGGGCGATGTGATGCAGGTGAGGACGATCCTCTTCTTGGCCTTCCGGCTATTCCTAGCCACGGGTTATCAACCCATACGGAGTACAGCCTTTGGAAACTATTCGATATGCAGTGATTCTCCAATAGAACGCACAGCTTTTGGAGAAAGTGACGAATTCGATTTCCTCCCATTAAACTAACAACCTGGGCCGAATTCCACCCTTATATCCGGACTCCTTCAGTGTTTGTGTTATGCATTAAAAATCCCGCTCTACGCTTAATATACCCGCATTCACGCCCTGGAAAAGCAGCTATCGGACGGAACCTACGTCGCGACTGGCACGGGCTTTTTTCCCTTTCCTCCATAGCGTCTAAAGCCTCTACATCCACCCTATAGCCCTTCAGTAAACCATGTCCCTTGCTCGTGCTAGTGCCTGTGCTCCTTTGCAGAAACTACTTCTGTAGCCAAGGCTTCATAGCCCATTACCCATGCAAAGGATCGGCGTATGATTTCCATTGAACTATATGGAATATCTTCCAGCTATTATCATATCCTCCGTACATACACGGTACTTGGTGCTCTGTGTAATGCCTTCCCTGCCAGTAATGCCCTTCAATGTTTTGCAACGGAGCTTATGACCCTGACTCATATATTCTTCGAAACTAATACACAAGTTTCCTTAACAGTACAGAAACACAAAAAGTCTTTATCTATTGGGGGTATGGTTGTTATTGGATAGAGTGGAGGATTCCATGTTGTACGGGGTAAGGTTATTGACACATGTAACATACAGCTACATGCTAGATGCGCCATAGTCTCGACTAGATGTACATCAGCTAAGAAGAGGCCTCAGCGCTTCTGTATGCGCCGTATATATACATAGATATATACCCTCGTTAAAAGGCGACGGCGAGAAGGGACGGCAGAAGCCGTCGTACGAATGTTGATAGGTAACGCAAGAAATAACATGTGGAGAGGTCTATCAGGAAGAGGAGGAAGGGGTATCGTAGCATGCATAAATTAATCGACGTCAGGTAATCGTCCAACAAGGCCTAGGCTATCCCTGCGATGCAGTCGGCCCTTTCTGCTGCCTTAGTTTCTCTTCGAACTGTGCAAACTCCTTTGCGGCGATTTCTTCCTCGGGATCAAGTACTTGTGTGACGGATTTCACTTCTTCGATCTGTATATCAAGGTCGAGGATTAATACATTCATTTCATTCCCGGGAGGGGTAGGGGGAAAAGACATAAATTGGGTAAATGAACTCACGTAATGCATAAGCATAGACTCGATGCCGTTCTTCAAGGTCACTGTACTTGAATCACAAGTTCGGCATGCTCCGCGAAGTTTTAGCATGACGTTTCCATTTTCAAATCCGCGAAATTCAATATCCCCGCCATCTTCTTGAATAGCGGGTCGGATTCGCGTTTCGAGTAATTCCTGAATCATCCCAACAATCTCTTCATCTTCTTCGTTGTATCGTACGGCTTCTTCCATCTCTGCTTCCTCAGCACCCTCCTTGCCTGGCCTAACGTCGACAATGTTTATCAATGCCTCGCCTGTCGTGATTGCTTCAGTAATCAGGCTGAAAACCTCTGGTTTGATGTGGGCCCAGTTTGCATCGCTGTCTTTTGTTACTGTAATAAAATCCGAACCAAAAAACACGGATACAACTCCGTCAACGTTGAGTAGCTTTGCTGCTAGAGGAGAGGGATAAGGCGGTTGAAGGGTGGACCGCGGAGTTAGGTACTCGAGGAAGGAAACAGGAAAACCTTCAGGAAGGACTGGGTGATTGGGCCTGAACTTAAGAGCCTAATATTGATAGATTGGGTCAGTTGTTTGCTTTACCTGAACAACTAGCGACCCGGTTTGCGCATGGATGAAGGGGGATGTGAGGGGAAAACTGCTCACATCAGCATTGGGGGTGGTATCTGTCTCGATGAATATAGTGCGTCGGTCTGAAGGAACGCCTATGCGTCCTTGCGTAACGGGTTGGTGATGGCGTTGCAAGGTTGGGCGATGATGCGACGAGATGACCATAGGAGGTTTACTCGCGCTCGACAGCCATCTTAAAGACACCTGTGGGCCTCGCCGCCTCGACGCCGATAGGGAACCTGAGACGGCCCTTGAGAGCACATTAGATAGAGGTCTTGATGCCATGGTGAATTCACGCTTCACGCTATTCTGATATGAATGGTAAAGAAGTTCTCAAAGACCGTAACTATCTCCTCGGCCCAGTCGTCCAGTAATTATTAATAAGGACAAATAGTTCTTCCGATGCTCCGATATGCACTCCACATTCGGAAAGTACCGATAACGTGATATTCTTTAGGTCATCGCGAACATCGAAGTATTTGAATAACATAACATACAATGATAGATACGCAGTTCCGTTCAGTTCGAGTTTGTTAACTCGGAAGGCCTTATTTATACTATACTTAAGAGATTTTTTTTGCCTCTCATGGCCTTTAGTGCAATAGAGAGGGTTTATATTCGCCCCTCTGCTTATTCCAACTATAACTAGCAAGCCTAGCAATCTTCCAAATGTTAACAATTATGATTTCGAACTTCATGGTACATGCTAGTAGCTCTTGATTGGGCTATAAAAAGGCTTATGGCGAGGCTGTTTAGATAATATATGTTGTTCATAATACACTGATACCCGGGTGCTGACCATGGCCGTTATTGATGGAAAAGGTACTGTATATTTTGGACACGCACTCGTATAAACCAATTTTTGTATCTTTTCGAGAAATAGAAGTACCACAAGCATCAATGAGAAAAGTGTCTACTACTACCCTTTCGAAATATATATGGTGACAGTATTCAACTATTTATGATAGTCTCCAGCATGCTATTCAGACGGTTCCATTTTCCATTCCTACATTCAACCCTACGTATAACTAGTATTGATAAAGAAGTTATTATTCCATCGTGGAATTCCGCAGTAGCAATACAATGCTCCAAGATGCATGGATTAACTAAGACATATACTATGTATCTGCCCATAAAAACTCCTGAGAGATTCCATTTCCTTTCCCCCTCCCCTCTCCCCTCCAGATAAAAAGAAGAAAAAGCAGCACGGTCGGGTTTTTCACAATTCACGAAGAAATATGGGTATACAATAATACAGGCAGACAGAGGTAGGTAGGCAACCAAGTCAAGTGGAAAGGGAAGCACTGGGGCAGAGAAGGGGAGGGTCTGTTTTCAGTATGGCATGGCATGGCTGGAACCTGTATGAGAAAAGTGGCAGGCAGGCATTAATTTAGGTATATGAAAGAAGAAAGAGAAAAATGAATATTTCTTCCCAGCCCCTAAATGAACCAACGTTTGAATCTTCCCGTGCTGGCAGCCATATTGACACTCTATTACAAGAAATAGATCGTATCAAGGACATTACTATCATAATAATCATCAGTTCAAGTTCGTCTCCAGCCAAACCGTTTCCGTCCTGGATCTGGAATGCCGCTGGCAGATGCTTCCACTTGCATGCTCCGGCTATAGAGTTCCTAGATACCCTGTCAGTATTGTGCATTTCGGTATGAAGAAGCAAATATATTTAGTTCTTACCTCTTCATCTCCTGCGAATTTTGCTTCTAGGATCAACCATTGCGTAATATCGTGTTTGTTATAGGCAGGGAATGAAGTTTTCTGACTCTGTTGAATGGAGAGGATGACATCTCCCATAACTTCGAATTTCCGCCAGTTAATTCGGTCTCCGTTTGCACCAACAAAGGTCTTATTACCCTCCTCTGCTGACACCAGGTCGCGAAGGTGGAGGGGTAGAAATGGTATCCTTTCGTTGAAGGAATTTTCCCACGCGAGTCGATATGCAAAATGACTCTTTTGCGTGCTCATGAGTATCACTACACTCATAAATTGCTTTTGCAGGGTTGGAGGCACTAGTTCCCGAGTTTGTGATAGCCTCGAAACCGGTGTGCCGTTTAATCCTGCAATAACTGCGCCTAGCGCATTATAGTTGTTTAGTTGGCGGAGTTTCTTTTATATGGAGCCATTAGCCGAGAGCAAGTTAAAACGGAAGGCTGGATGAACGGAGGTCTGGGAATACTAACCAATGATATATTCATAAACTTCTCCAGCGCTTGAGCCCTGTGCTTTGCCTTATCTCGAAGCAATACCATGCTAGCAACGAAGAAGGCAAGGTGGTTAAATGATTTGATCATCCTATTGACATTCTCCAGATAGGCAGCCGATTTCCCTTTGTTTGGGCCAGATAAACTGACATGTCGAATGAGTTCGCGCGGCCGGAAGGAACTGTACATGATCCAATCCATACGTGTCACTTCTCGGGCAAATTCTTCATCGGGGATGTCCATAAATATGCGCCATTGGGTTTTTGTGAGAAGGTTTCGCGGTACTATTTCGAGCTTTTGGGCTTCCTGTTGAGCAGACTCAACGCTGAGCAAGGTCTTGAATGATTGGCTCGAGATACTGCCTGCCCTGTCTGCGCTGGATGTGGTGGACAAGTTGGAGTTTTGGGATGAATGGTCCAGGTCCACCTCACTAACGTTGAAGTTACCCATCGATTGAGACATACGATTCGACGAGCCCTGGTAAGATGTATCCATAAACGAGTCGCTGGGTTCAGGTAAGGAATCCTCATCGTTGTATGCCCAGCATAGATCGTCATCTTCAACGAACTTGTCGAGGTAGGCATTCATCTCCTTTGCAGCAAAGGCGAACACGATGTTCTTCTCCAGCGAGGTAATGAAGTTAGTTAACAGTCTCCGGGACTTGGCTCCGGCAAAATCTCCTGGATACTCTGAAACCCATTGTGCAAGGACGTTGAGAAATCTGAGTTGGTCTGCGTGACGAGTGAGCAGTGGTGACCGACTGCAGTTGATATGTTCGAAGCGAGCAATTATGGCAGTGAGGACTTGGAAAGGTGTGGCGAATTTTCGATATAGACAGAGAAATATGGGAGGGAACTTTCCATCTTGTTTGGACAAGGGCAAGGAAAGGAGCCTGTCGACTAGTTCATCGAGTGTTGAGCCGGTATCGTCCTGCTTGTCCTTTGACTGGTTCTGACTTGATGGGCTACCGGCTGATCTTGAGTCTTCTAGCTCATCATCCATATCAAGGAAACTGCTGAAGGCGTCCGAGCCAGCGCTGTGCCTCCACGTTGTCCTCAGATTCCGATACCTGGTCTTTCCCGGCGGTGAATCTTCGATGATGGTCTCTGAGGTACTGCGGTTCGATATCGTACTCCCGGGCGGTGTTCTTGGCGGCACGGGCTGGGAGTTGCTGCGAGCATACCTCGAACCGTGGGCTCCAGGTACTAGGGTCGAGGTGCTGGACGACTCAGCGTTTCCTCCTCCGCCAGATCGGTCGGATCTCGTGGTATCGCTGGTCGACGGCCTGGGATTCTCGGAGCTCGCCCGAGTGTGAGGTCGATTGCGGGGGACGGGTTGGCGAGGTAGAAGGGTACTAGAGGGTGTGAGGTTTGGAGAGGAAGAAGGTGGCAAGCGATCTGTGGAAGAAGCTACATCTGCAAGGGAGAGCATCGAGAGGGGTCAGCTAAAGAGCAAGCCAGCGTGAGGTGCTTCAATAAACAGAGGAGAAAAAAACGAATAGATAAATGTATCATTCTCATTCACCCTCCCCCCTTTCAAAGGCCGTTTTAGCAGAGAGGGAGAGAGAGAGAAAGAGGAGAAAAAAAAAAAAACTGCAGACAGGATGGACGACCAGGCTCGACTCTGGGGGCTGCGAACTCATAGCCAGGGGGCTAATAGCGCAAGACTTCTTGTTGGGCGGTGCGAGGCGTGGGTGGAGAAAGCCGGGAGCGAAATTAGCGTGATAGACAGGGGGAAAAAGCACCAAAAAGCCCCGAGATAAGCCAGAGCCTTGGATGGAAGAGAAGAAGGGGCAAAGGCTGGGAGTGAGATGACGCCCTTTGGTTGAAGAGATCCTCTTTCTGACAGCGATCTAGATGGTTGACTGGCTTATGTTGATGATGTAGTTTCTCGACCTTGACTTCCCTCAGGCCACATGACAAGAGGTCTTGACATGTTTATCTGAGAGTGTGTTTTCTTTTTCTTCTTTTTTCCTCTCTTCTTTTTTTTTCAGGAGGAAAAGGGGGGAAACCAGGACACAGCAAAAGAAAAAAAAAAGATAATAGTAATAAAAATCCGCGACAATATAAAAACATTATAAGAGAGAAAAAAAAATACAGACATACCTGCACTGCGCATGATGATGGCTCGGAGAATGGTTGAGATGCATTTTTTGTGGGATTCTGGCAGGCTGGCCGAGATTCTCTGCACCTTTAACCCTAGGAGTGACCGGCATGCTTGCACTAGGGTTAAAGGGTCATGCTGGGATTCGTGCTGAGGCCCGTCGCATTTGCATGCTATCACAAGGAAAGGGATGTTCGTCGACTTCCGTAGAGCATCTGGTTTGAAGCAGGTTTAGCAAGAAGTCCGGTCGTGGAAGCTGTACCTGTCACGGATACACGGAGGAACGAAAAGTAAGCAACCAGTAAAGCAGGTCGAACTCCTTACCTAGAACCTGTGGGTACTGGGAAACGGTCCGCAGATCGGTCGAATCGAACAGGCAGAGGACCCCGTCAATGGGAGGCAGAGCCTGCTCGCCCAGAAATTTGGGCCAGATGATGCGGCCGCGGTCGTCCAGGGTGATCTTATGGATGGCGATTTCCAGCAATCGAACCACGTATATAGCCCCATCCATGGACATCTTCTTGATCGATGACCTGACCAACGGCGTCTGCTTCAGGTCCAGCGCACATTTCACGAACGTCGACTTGCCCACTCCCTGGGCGCCCACCACCGCCAAATTCACCTGAGGAAGCTGATGTCCAGACGTAGCGGCCTAGATCCAAAGAAATCGTTAGCAAGGTTGTATTCTAATTTCCCAACATTTAACGGCCTAATCCATTGCATCACGCGATGCATTTCCAAGGGGTATGTTATAGTAAATAAACAACAGAAAAAAAATACTCACCTCCTCCGAGCTTTCTTCGGGTGCCTGACCCGTCATCATCGCCTCGTTCTCTGCGATTGCCGAAAATCCAGCGGTATCCTGCCGGCCTGAGCGGCTGCTCTGAAGGTGTAGCTTGCCAACGGGGGCCGAGTATGTTCTGCTGGGGAGTGACGGGCGAGCAGGTCGTGCAGAAGAGAGACCATCACGCCCAGCGCTGGTTGATCGTGTCCTGGCGAGGTTCAGGGAGGACATTATATATATTCAGGCCGCGTGTGAGAGAGCGAGTGTTGGTTGCTGTGTGTATGTGTGTGAGACAGATGGCGTTTGAGGTAGAGCTCTTCGTCGCAGGAAACTGGTTGCTGGGGGATTTGATCGATATCGAGATGCTACATCTCTCTCTCTCTCTCTCTCTCTCTCTCTCTCTCTCTTGCTATTTCCTTTCCCCAAAAGAGGCCCTGCCCAGCGCTGTTCTACTGATCGTAATGCCCGCTCATCTCCAGGGGACGAATTGGAGTCGCGTTTTTGCTCTCCCTGCTGACAATGGCGAAATCCCAGGTGACGAGTGTGAAAAAAACGCCCCCCTCCTCGGTGGTTTCTTTTTATTGTTGTTAGTGAGGTTCAGGCAAGTCACAGCACGTTCAACCGGTACAACGTCTAGGAATATATAGACAGGTAGATAATATATCGGCAGACAAGGTAGATGACAAGGAGAAGAGGCGAAAAGGTTGGAGTTGATGGTCGTTTTCCTTCTTAGTGAGACAGAAGACGCTCCAGGATTTTTTCTGTAACAAAACATTAAAATAATATTCGGCTTTTCTTTTGGGCGTCTTTTTTTTCTTTTTTAGATGCTATGTGACTAACGAGTAGAGTCTTCTCTCGCCTATTATTATTATTATTATTATTATTATTATATATAGATATATGGCTATATAGGTGTTTCGTAGTTGATCTACAAGACGGGGCAAAGGCTTCAATACATACATTAGACATGTAGCATTTGCAGGATATATAGAGTTGGAAGGCTGGCTCATCTCAGAGTCTTTTCCTGATATCCAATACTCGTCTAGCAAATATTTAGGAGTCATCCTGAATTTGTTGTGTGCGTGTGTGTATAATAAGAGCAATATAGAGTGGTGGCGACGGTCATGTCAGGGGCAAAAGTCGAAGTTGTATACATCAGCCCGACGGGAGATAATATGTGCAACAGGGCCTCCATTCAGCTTCTCAGCTCTTCAATCTGTGCGACGGAGAGGATGGTTTGCTGGGTTGACGAACCCATACTTATCTTTTTTTCTCCATGATAGAGTTGGCTGGTTGGGAGGTTGTCGTCTAATATACACATACTATCGATAATATATGTTTGCGGCGTCAACATCTCCGCAAAAATCTATCGTGGAGACCGGATGACGTTTCTGGGGACAGCAAACTAACTAGCACATGTCGAAGTGTGTCCTAGCTATCGGTTGTCCCACTGTTCGGTTCAGCAGGAAGCGTCTGGTTCGTGGTCCCTTTCCCATATTCAAAAGCTCCATTAAGCCGTTGGACCCCTGAATCTGTTGTGTTTCAAACCACGCCAAAATAAAAATAAATAATAAAAGGTACCTGCGTTTCGGGTCCTCGGTGGCCTCCCCTTAAAAGGGCCAGCAGCCATAATGTGGTGGAGATGTTTTGCCATTTATGTGGTAGGACCAAGGGGTGCCTTCGTGACGTACTATGTAAGAAATCACATCCGGGATATGGTCTTGCAGGGCTTGGGTATAACATCTGCATTCCCCGGATTATTCTTTCATTTCCCTTCACAATTTCACTCCTGCTTGGGCTTAGCTGCACGTCAGCGTCAGACGACAGATCACGTCTAACCGACTCATATCCAATCGGATAAGACAGTCATTTTCTGACCACCGGAAATCGCTCTCGAGGCGAGAGACAAGACTCAGTAGAGTGAGCCTACGAATAGAACCTCGCACATAAAAAAGATAAAAGATTCCATACACCCCACGATCGACGGAATTCAAGCCGTGGTGAATTGGGACTGGACCTGATGTGTCCAGAGGCACCCGATTAAGAGTGCAAATCCCGGTAGGTTGGTAGCTTTTTTCGCCTCTGTTATTTTAGACTAACACGTCCTAACCGGTTCCTGTGGTATCCATATCAATAACAAGAGCAATAAAGCGTCTGAAGGCCTCATCATCAGCTCCAGTGGCGCGCCTCGAAGCACTATCGTCATCGCAGGCCTCTCTCCATTTGCGAACCTTTCCAAGTCCGCGATTAAACCCTTTCTCCGGTGTCCAGGGTCCTCTGCTTCTCCCACCTCCTCTGGATGAATGCGTGCCTCTGCCTCGTCCGCGCCCACGTCCACGCCCCCATCCGTGGCTGTCAGGCTTCGCCTCCTCCACCCATTCCTCTTCGAGGGTCAGGTTGTAAATCTCCCGCAGTCGAGACCGGAATCCGGGGAATCTGCTCCACAACTCTTGTAATTCGGGTGAGCTTTCAAGACTGGAGAACCCCTCCTTCGTGTTTCCATGCCCAGAAACGGCTGTGGGTTGCGCATTGTTAACTGCTGCTGTGATGTCTTCGGCCGGCCTGAGCTGGCTATCGTATTTTGGCAATGCGTTGCCATCACTGCCTCCCTGTAAGTGATCCTCACTCGTTACTGGATCTGGTATTACCGGAGAGCAGGTTGTCTTATGGGATTTGGAACATGCCAAAGAACAACTATAGTATGCCAATTAGAATATATCATTTTATATATCATGTTGCTTCATAGGCTCCGTAAGCTTCATAGCTTGCCAAAAGGAAGAACCTACCTCTGTACGCCACAAGCTGGACATCGGTACTTTGCTTGCTCCTGGGAGCAGACCTGGCACAATACGGCCATCGACTCTATAATAAAAAAACCGGATACTATAGAATCTCCTTCTCTGAGAAGCTGTTATGTTATTTATTCACTATAGAAATAAAAAAAGAAGAAAAAGCTCGGAAAAAAAGAGCGAATGAAAAAGATGTATTTATGACGCTGTTTTAATATAAATGCCAAGACATAATAATATAACTAGTGCCGCTTTAGTTCTTCTTAATATCAAAAAAGAATCTCAAGAAGCATCAAAAGATTGAACAAGAACAAGTCAATATAACAGCACAAATCATGGCAAATATACAACTACAGACACGCTCGATATACCGGGCTATACTACGTGAACTACCTTCTCGGCCTCGCTTCTCGGCCTCTCCTCTCCAGACCAAGATTCGCCAACACCTTTCCACAGCACCGGAAGATAGCAACGCTGCTTGGGCACAACTCGAAGAAGCAGAGCAGTTCACGCAGTACATTAGAGCTCAGAGACAATACGTTACATTGCTGGAGCGATATAACCCCGGAGCGGATATGGATCAGGAAGAACGCGTCCGGTTGACTGCCAGAAGAGTTGGGATGAGCCTACCTATCGAACACAAGGACGAATCTTCGTAAAGAAAGCGCCGAGAGAAATATATGCGGAATGGATACGAGTTTAATATTCACAGTTGAATATAAAGCGTTGCGTATTTGGGTCTTAGAGGTGGCCGGTCGTTGTACGCATCTCTCCTCCCTCTATACATGCCAATTCATCACCTAATATGATATTTCATAGGCATATTGAGCGTATGGAGCAACCATGCTGAAGGACCATTTATACTGTACACTATACTAGACATTCACAATTGATATCAAAATATGCCTAATCTCAATCCCCAAACCTCATCCTTATGTGGCTACCAATAGCCAGCTGCAATTTCTGTGTCACTCAAAATCCACAAGCTTATATCCCAACTAGAACTGTGCAAGATCAAATGCCTTCAGACGACTCAAGGTGCAGAAAGTCTCTCAATTTCCTTAATATCCCCTGATTCTTCACATATTCGTCAGAATATAGCATCTTCTCCGCGCCGGGCAAGCAGGTCTCTGATCAAGCCCTCTTCAACAACTTTTCCCTTGTCTAGTACTATCACAATGTCATAATCTGCGATTGTCAGTATCCTGTGTGCGATGGTCAAGACAGTTTTTCAATGCTGGCCCGTAAACCCGTCTGGATTGCAGCGTCAGTGGCAGGATCGACGGAGGCTGTGGCCTCATCCAGCACCAACACCCGAGACCGACGCAAAAGTCCTCGCGCAATACACAGAAGCTGGCGCTGGCCACGCGAAAGCGTCTCTGCAGGCCGGTCGAGATCAGTAGCAGTGATGCTAGCCCCTAGGAACAATCGTACAGTACATAGGACATCCAGTAGAGTGTCATCAGTATAGCCAGTTTCATCACTATAGAGATGTTGGTCCTTCAACGGCACCAGATTATCACGAAGATTTCCTGCGAACAACCATGGGTCCCGGGGAACAACTGTGACGGCACGTCGAAGTTTGTACAGTGTAACTGAGGTGATATCTACTCCGTCAATCTCTATATGCCCGCCGTCGGCTTCAATCCCACGGATTAGCGCCATCGTAAGAGTGCTTTTACCTGCACCTGTACGGCCCACAATCCCAACACGCTGGCCAGGCATAACGGTAAAGCTGATTTCTTGGAGAGCTGGCTCCAGTTCTGGTGCATACCGCGCTGTATAGTTGTAGAAGGTAATGCCTCCTTTTGATGGCCAGGCGGATGGAATAGGTTCAATAGCTGCCTTGAGCGGACGAGTCGGCTCTTGCTCTATCTTGGTATACTCTAACACCCGCTCTAGTGAGCTGAGATTTTGCTGTATGATGGCATAAACTTGCACCAACCACATAACGTTTTCTGTGATGGACGCAGCAAACGTGAGTACTAGTCCTGCGGCTCCTGGAGAGACAGACTTGCGATCCCATAGGATAAAAGCGCCAGCCAAAAACATAATCAGTGAACTAAGAGTGCCAACGCGTAAAGATAGCCATCCGCTGTTAGCACTAAGTAGCAAGAATGGCCGTGTCTGACGGTCAAGGAGACGCCGGCTCTCTGCAAGGACGGCCGTCGTGTATGCGTAGGCACGGATACTGATATCACCCGCAAGAGTCTCACCAAACTGTTGATAGAGCGGCGACCTCTCGGTATTCTCTATACGCTTTAGATCGCGGGCTCCATGGATGTATATCATGGTCATCATCCCGTAGGCCAGGAATATAAAGACTGCCGCTACCATAAATCCCGGTAGGATGGTCCCGATATATATAGCAACCATAGCTAGTGAGGTAACTAACTGGCACATACTGATCGAAGACATGACTAGAGATTGATCCAGGACTTCAACGTCTTTAGATAGCCGGTTAGTAATTTGGCCTAATGGGGTATTATCAAAAAGGTGAATTTTGCGTAGATAATAGCATCTAATAGTCTGCTGTATATACTACTCGACGCCCTAAGCGCACCGAAAAAGATGCCTAAGTCACATATAAAGGTAATACTGGCATATCCGAGGCAAATTATGCCATAGATGATTATATAGTATTCGGCGGCAACAGCCTTTGCCTCTCTATTATCGTATTGGGACGTCCACTCCTTGATCCAGATATTGGCTCCGAGTGCGGCGAACTGCTGTATGGCAAAGCCACCAAAGACAATAATCCAGAACCCCCAGTGGCCCATGGCCATGATGTATGTCCGGACAACCGGCCAGCCTACAGCACCCTCAAACCGACTTTCCATATATTTGGGTTGGTTCTTGCGGTTCACAGGAATAGAAGACTGCGAATATCCTTCATACGGCTCTAAGCCCTCTGTCACGGCATGGGCCGAAGAACCTGCCTTGGTTGTGCTATCTTGGGGCGTATTATGGTTTATATGCCCATTTGACACCATCTCCTGAGCTGTTCCTTGTGCTTTTACTCTTCCGGCGTCAAGCAAAACCACCCATTTGCAATTCTTGATAGCTAGCCCTGTATTATGCGTCGCTAGAATGCAAGTTCTACTGCGCATGGAGGGCCCTGTAATTGCATGGCGAAAAATGTGGTTTGTAGTACGCCAGTCCAGCGCGCTTAGACAGTCATCGAGAAACACATATCGGCATGGGCTATAGAGGGCCCGAGCCAGGGCAACTCGCTGCCTCTGGCCACCTGATAAACGGCTTCCGTGCTCTCCAGCCAAGGCATTATCCCCGTTATCAAAAAGAGCTAGATCCATTCTTAAATCAACGGCGTGCAACACCGTCTCGTACCTACTAGGGTCAAATGGAAGGTCGAGAACAATATTAGCCCGGATGCTACGGTTCATAATCCAGGGCTCCTGCGGGCAGTAAGCGGTAGCATCAGAGAATGTATCATTAGAGAATATTTGCCCAGGGTCAGTCAAATGATGGGTTGTAGGGCGAGGGAATAGCACTTTGCCATTGAGTAGATCCATCTCACCCAGCAATGCGGGTAGAAGCGAAGTCTTTCCGGAGCCACTGGGGCCGCAAATGATATTTAGCCCATCAGGCTGGAATTGAATATGTAGATTTTCTAACCGTAATGGTAGAACTGGTTGCATGTTCTTCGCTGGCATACCGTCCTCCCTAGCATCGCTGACTGCATTATCGCTCATGGACCACACGAAAGTAGCATCATTGAATCCAACTGTAATTCCGTGAGAATCGGATAACTGGTGGTATTTATCCGTCTCCTGCTCATCTAGGAAACGGCTAATTCGAGTAAGAGAGATATATGCCTGTACCAGAAAGGTAATAGAATCGGCAAGGCGATTCAGTGGGATACGTAGCACTGCGAAGATTGCAAGCGCTGGGAAGGCAATTGCGGTCTCTAGGGCCTGTCCTCAAACAACAGTGTAAAAGAAACAGGGCAAAATAGTAACTAGAAAAGGGAGCGTGTGGAATAGGGTCATAGAAGCAGTCCACCAAACACAACGGGTTTGCATACGCCGCATCTCTATTCCACGACAACGTAGGACGCGATCACGGAGGGGTTCCTCCCAGGCACAAATTTTGATAGTATAGATGTTCTCCAGGAGTTCGTTACTCGCCTGGATCCTAGCGTCACTGGCGGCCAAAACCTGGTTCTGTGTTGCCATAACTCCCCGAGACACCAGTATATTCAGGGGTATTAGAAACATCGCCAGCACACCTAATATGCCGCTCATTCCCAATAATTGGTAAAGCAGATATGTACCAAGTCCCATCTGTACGGGGAAGATGATCCAGACAAAATACAAGCCTGAGCTCATACTGCTAACGAGTTGCGCGTCCACTGACATCAGATTTGTGATGGTACCGATGCTGTTGCTGGCAGAGTTCGCAGAGTCTCCATTCACTCTGGTAGTGCTCTTGCGAAGGACTTTGGCGTAAATCTCGCTTACCAGAACTGTGCGCATTCGTGCACTCATTTGACTTCCTGTCCAGTTACATTGACACTCCGCAAGGGTTGCAAGTATTCCAAAGACCAAGAGTCCACCAACATACGGCCAAATGTAAGAAGTCTTTGTGTCCGACTGAAGTTCCTGGAGAATATAATGGATGAACATTGGGGGCACAAAAACCGTGATACTATTTAGCGTCGCCCATAGTCCTTGAAGAAAAATTCTGTACTTGAATGCAGAAAATAGTCTCCATAGTAGTGGCCAAGAGGGACTGGTCTGGCGCTGGAACCAAGGCAGCACAATAGCAGCGGAGTACTGCCTGTTAATGGAGCCGAGGTCGGAGGGATGAAGAGTCTTTCGGAACGCCGCCCATACCAGCTGGTCCATCCATGAGAACGTTAGCTTTGAAAAGGGGCTAGCAATCTCATCGCATGATGGCTGGCCATTTCCCAAGTGTAGAGACTGACGGGCCACCCTAGGTACCAAACAGTTCATAAGACCAATGAGTGTGAATATCGAAAGGCGAGAAGTGACAATTGTAATATTGAAGCTGTCATGGTCCCTCTGGGAGAAAATTATGCAGGTGATGAAGAGAGTATAGAGCCATTGCCCGGCATAAAGGCAGGCGGAATGCCATTTGAAGCCAAGGCCAGCACTATATAGCCTTCCCACAAGCAGGATGAGGAGATAAACGGAGGATATCGTGGGCACAAGCTCCAGAATGCAGCCACCATGGCTTTCACCACGCAGGACGAATAAGAGTAGAGCAAGCACGAGGTCGGTAAGGAGGAGTCCCTCTATAACAACTTGTAGAGGCCGGATGGTAGCGGATTCTCGTAATGTTGTTTCTGTTTCGTTTTCTTCCGCTATGCCACCAGGAATTGAAGGATGGATGGGTGTATATGGAGGGATATCATGGCTGCGTGACTGAAGATATGATACAGCAAAAACGAAGAGTGAAAACAAGTAGCAGCCCAGCAACGCGAAGTCAAGATGGCAGTGCAATTCACTGCATGTAATAGCAGCACCAGCAGTATACGGCAAACAGGAGGCCATCGCTTGACCGTCAGTGTGCAGTCTGATAAGGAGATAGTTGCATCGTGTAGCAACAACTGTTATTCTAAGTGCATTTTAATATGAGCTCTTTTGGTTAATAAAGCCTTAGGCAGCAGCTTTTTTCCGAGCGTAGAACGCTGCATGAGCCTCTTCAGAGGCCAGTTAACAGGACAAACGGTTTGTCCCAGTGTCAGTGGTGAGCATGCCATTGGGGTTGGGTGTGAAGCCCGGGGTAAAAAGCCAGGGTGTAAGAAAAGATCCCCACGATGCCAGGGATGGGCGTACGCTTTCATCAGTAACTAGATGAGAGGCACAAATAACGCGAAACTATCAACATCCCTAGCTCTCAACCATCTATGGAAAGGTTCCCTTTGTGATAAGATGCCAATGGCTGACTGTGTCCAGCGGTTCCATAGCTAGTCTCTCTGGCCCCCTCGGCTCGTTCCATAATAGCATCTGCATGATCATATATCCAGCAAGGACGGCGTATGCGAGATCGTGTGAACCCTGGCAAATCGCACATTAATATCAAATGAAAGACAACAGGAGAGTCAACAGCCTCGAGTCTTTCGTTAAGGGCCCGTCACTGGGCATCCAAGATTTAACTGGATGAGTGCGCCCCCCGCTGACCCAGCGCACTTTTGAGGTCGCGTCTTTCTCTCGCCACACTTATTTATGTTGCCTGCCGCCTCTGGGATGGGTATCAACTGGCACTTGAGACTGTAGGATCGATAAAATAGCGAATGAGAGGTTGATATTAACTGTTGGTGGCGGATGGTTGCTGCGTATGTATGTAGGTATCCATGCTGGGTTGGATTTATCCCGCTGCGCGCCATCGCTGGGAAGGCCATAATCGCTGCGATGCCATAGGTATCACGGCCCAAAGAGTGACGTTATGGCATTGTAGTGCAGTGCCTAGCTCGCTATCTGAGTCAAGGCAGAAGCGTTCTCCTGTCTGCATCGATCGTGGCGTTGGAGGTTGAAGCTTCTAGAAAATCATCTTCCATGTGTCGACACTAATTACTAGTTTACCCCTAAAGTCTCCATACGAAGTTTGAAACCAAGACAGCAGATCATTTATCGTAGATTGTTAAGTCAGTGTAGTGGTATCTTCATTACTACTGTATTTATATAAGAGACAAGATTTAAACCGAACAGCGATCTGTTAATATTTATGTATGGATCAAACACTCTTCCCAAGAAAAGAGGACCAACGCCACTGCCATGCAATCGATTGAAAAGAGAACAACCAAAGGCATGAAACATCATATCACCTCATGTAAAGCAGATATCCTGTTAATCCACTGGGAGTGGCAATGAAAGAGTGTATAATGCAGGCGTATTTAACCAAAGAGCCAGTAAAAAGCGAGTGAGAAAATGCAGGAAGCCCAAAAACGCCTTTTAGATGCATACATTAGACGGGAGGAAAAGAAAAGAAAAGAAAAGAGAAAACAAAAGCTCTGTGTTCTGTATTCATATCATGGGGAAGGGAGCTGGTAGTTTTTAACGAGTCCAGCTCGGGTTCGTGGTTGTTGGGGCGGCGGTATAATTCGAGTGAGGAGGAGGATGACGGTAGGTAGGATGGGTTTTGTCTCGACAAATGAAAATGATCTATAATATCTCTAGGCCTATGCCACTGGGCGGGCCTTGCGTTTCTCCATGTATGAACCTGCGGCAGAGCCGAAGAATCTAGAAATGATACCTCCGGTTCCCGAGCCAGCCGTCTTTGCGCGTTTCTGTGGCTGCATCTCGTTTGAGAAGGTGATGGTATGGCCCTTTGCCTTTGGACGTACCATCTGAATGTCGACATAGCTATACGCCAGGTGAGAGGAGCCTGGGCTGGTGCTGCCGTCGGCAACAACGACCTCATGGAAAGAGGACGCGGTGTCGATGCTGGCAGGGGTTCCTCGAGAGCTGGGCGCCAAACTGGAAGATCGGGACGACGAGCCGTGATTGGAGTCGGCATGGCCGAGGGCCGGTAGATCGAGGACAGAAGGCGGGGAAATAGAGCGACCAGATCGCTGTAGGGATTGGCGACGCTTATGACGTGCTATGCGATCGCTAGAATTGTCCGCGATCGAACGGGGAGAATCGTAGATGCCGCCCTGCAGACCATAGTCGCTTGGTAGACGAGCAGGGCTCTGGTCACGGGATGCCTGGGTCAGAGCTGCGCGGACGGCGAGTTCACGTTCACGTTCACGCTCCATCTCCATGTCGCATTGTGCCTGGAGCTGGCTGCGGATGGGAGCTAGGAAAGGCTCGAAGTGAAGGAAGAGATCCTCCTCGTTGACACGAGTGTCCCAGCGAGCAGGTAGAGAAGCTGGCGTTCCATCAGGTTGACCTCTGGTAGGGAGAAACCAAAGCCATCGTAGCCCTTGACCAGCGTATACCTGGACCAGTGCTTATTCTTTGGGCTGGAGTCGTTGAGGTTTTTGGCAGCCAGAATGAGAGCAGCCAGGAAGATACGGTGAGAGGTGCAGCGCATACCCTTGGCGACGGGGGGAAGCTTGTTCTTGAGCCGTGCCAGAAAAACAAGAGATGTCATGAGAGTAGGGACCTCAACATGGGAACGAGTGACAAGCGAGAAGATGAACGCCTCCAATGGCGGGAGAGGAGGAAGATGAGACTCGTCCGCAGCCTTGAGATTGGGGGATGCTGGTGGCGTGAGGGTTCCTTGCTGGGTGACAGGCCCTCGAATAGCACGGTCCTCGCATCGAATCACCATAGAAGACTGTCTGGCGAGATACGATATCATCTCGCATGAAACCGGCATGGTAATGAACTCATTGAGAGCTGCACGGTTGAGAGCAACGTTTGACTTTGCCATGTTGGTATGAATGAGCTGTAACGAATACTTGTGTGTCCTTGAGAATGTTCAACCCGGTATGGCGAGATATAGAAATGGAGTTTGTCGAGTTTGGATAAGTAGACAAATGTCGTAAATTAAAGTGGTTGTAGTAACTTCTTGTCTTTTTTTCGAGATTCCGACCAGCGGAATAAATCAGACAAAAGGAAATCAAGGGCGACCCGTAGAGAGTCGCGGTGTTAAGAGAGAAAAAAAATAAATAAAGTCGTAATGGCGGATCGATGATGTTATTCTGTTGCATCCGTTAGACATGCCCGGCGCTCAAAGGATGAATGAGAAATGCATGCAAGAAGAGGCGGTCTCCAGGGGTAGTAAGTAGTCTTTTGGGGCAAAAATGCAAACGAACAAGCAAGGGTCGGCAGCACTTACTCAGATATCCAGACAGGCTGTGAAGGTAGTTCTCGTTATGTCTGTCGAGCAACTGGCTTATTCAGATTCTCTCCCGAATAAAAAAGTGTAACCGATGGCCGGCGGAGTATTCCAGATACAAGCAGGGAAGAAAGAGGTCGATGATAAGCCAAAAGGAAATAAAAAAACAAGCAAAATGCAGAAGATGCGTCTATGGGGGTATGGGGAAAATGCGATTCTAATAAATGGAAAAATTGATAAAAGTAAAAGAGACTCGTGAGACGTATCAAACGCCTTCTGATGCAGTATTAGGTATGTGTGGGAAAAAGGATGGAGGGAATAGGCATGTGGTTAGTTCTCGTGAAGAGGGAGAGACACAGAGAGGGAGAGTGTGTGGAAGGGGAAGAAAAACGAAAAGACAAGACTGTTAGTGAAGAAAGGCAGAGCAGCAGATCAGGAGGATGAGAAGTGCATGAATATATACCCTCGTAGTGTGGCCTTAAGACAGCATAAAACCTTCGGGAGGCCAACTCCAGAACGCCATCTTTCACACTCTCTATCCGTTTGTCTCGACCCTCTCCTGGGTGCCGGCGGTTGCTGATGCGTTAGCGGTCCCGTCATGAAGACGCCCTTGACAAACGACTGGCCGTGAGAGGACGCTGGCACCTAACCGCCAGCCATGGATCAACGGCACACAAAGTATTCTATTTTCGAGGGTCCGAGGGCGGGATGCCTGGATGGACCTCTTGCATTCAAGAATACGCGCTCTCATCTGCGATGATGTTACAAGGCCCCTGACAAGAATAGCAGCAACCTTTTTGTCCAAAAGAAAAGAAAAAGAACTTCCTTCCTCAGCACGCGCCGGGGGAGGGGGGGAGGGAAAAGGACGATCCACAGCGGCCAAGCTAACCCAGTCATGCAGCTGAGGGCGCCAGTCTGGAGATGCAGGCCTTGCGGGCGAGATCATTCGCCAGCAGTCAAGCCTTGGAGGGAAGATGCAGGCCCCAATCACAGCCGCCAGCCAGACGGGCGTCAAGTGTTTCATGCAACGTTTGAGACTTGCCCCCCCCCGAAGTCCGGCCTTCTCCAGGTACATCTTTTTAACTCTTTGAGTACTTATTCTGGCGTTGCCATGAGAGAGCGGGTGGCCCTGTCCGAGCTAGTTGAGCTGGCCGACGGCCGCAGGGGAAGACACCGTATTAACTCGACTCGCAGGACGGAGTATAAGAAAAAACAGGGAGAATAAACAGCGTCAAGCTACTTATGCTCCGGGTCATCCTCAAATCAGGCGTCAACCCAATGTGACTATTTTGACTTTAGGTCGTAAAATATTCCGTTCTTGTCCTTGTTCTCCGTCCAAGTGCTTGTTTGTAGTGTCTATGCATAGAGGAATTGTGTGCAGTATCCCTGCTAGAAAGGGGGTGAACTGGCCAATACCCTGGCGCACTGCTGTTTGTGTCTTCTAATCCTGCGACAGAACTCGCTCCACAGCGACATGTCCGTCTCGTTAGTGGGAGGTTTTCCATCTTGACGATGCGACTGAGCATCCAGCATGAACCAACACGCTGACGTCCTCACGGTCGAGAGGGAGGTTAGGCAGAGCGACGTGGACGTGGTCGAGTCGAGAGATGCCTTCGTCCTCGCGGCCGTGTTTTATCATGTGTTTCATCACGGGTCTTGCCCTTGTTGATGCGTTGTTCGCTTGTTCGTTGTTCTCCTGATAGTAGTTGATGCCGGAGACCATGTCATGCGAAAACTTTTGTGTGATGGGGGGGGGGGGGGGGGGGAGAGGACGCCGTTCTATCGCTTCTTCAAGGCCTTGCATAAGCTGCTCGTCCATTACTCATGGCATAAATACATAACAGCGTAACTAGCTGATAACTGATAGTCTCTTTGGCAGTTCGACTCGATCCTTGCGTTCAATATAATATACATCCGTACTGGCTGATGACCAAATTTGGGGCTACAACCATCGAACATTGTTACTCACCGTCGAACCGCAAAACCGCAGACTTAGTAATCTCCAACTAGCAGACAGAGGAAGACTTTGTCTGGAGACGTTATTCTATGACTGAGTATTCTTCCTTAACTGTTGGTTCCAAGGCCGCCGCTGCTGCTTGTCTGCTCCTTCAAGCGATTCTAGTTCCGCCTGGGCGTTAACTTAACAGAAATAGAACAAGATCGTAACTACTGATATGATAATAATAGCATTTATTTCATGCATCCTCCGACTTGGGCCCATGTCAATATTATATAACATGCGATATAACAGTTTGCCAGGGGCCCATGAGGCCGCCCTATTGGCCTGTTTCAGCTTGTCCTCTCGTCGTCTATCCGGACGCTTCAAGTAGCCTTCTGCTTCTTCTCTCTAGCCGCCCATGCCTTTCTTTGGCTCGACTCCAACAGGCAACATGATTTATTATTATCCCAAAACAGTTGCATGATCAACGGGATTTCGTTTCTTCAGGATATATTCTTCCCGGATAAAAATAGCCTGACCAACAGTCTGAAAATACAAGGAAGAAGCCGTTGGCACTATAACTGTTGCAACAGCTGACTGCAAAGGACAGGGCCGGGAAGAGCAAGTCTACCAGTTGCGGAAGAAATATCATACCAACACATAACCCGCTTCTCCACATACACATCATGTCCGACGTCTAAACCTCGATGTAAAGGGATGAGACTTTAACTGAAAGAGGACCGTTTGATGGAGAGGCGTCATGCTCAGCAAAGCATCATGCAGACACAGCGTAAATTCCTGCTACATTGAGGAACTTACAAATGTCAGTTTTGGGGCCCCCCTTCTTTTGAAGGCCGAAGTGATCATGCAAAAGAAGGTTCTATACCCTTTAATTTGGGAACCAGAGTATTCCCTATTATGGTGAACAGTCCCGGGCCCTGGTTATCCATGATACATAGAAACAATTACTAGCACTCGGTACCTCTATGCCATCCTGTTGGTTATTGCTTCTTGAATATACATACCAGGTGATAACTCATGAAACGCTCCGTTCATACATCCTGCGCCAGGGCTTGGGCATTCCCGTGAAAGGCGACAGGTGGCGCCATTTACCTTGAAGAAAGGTTGATATTTGACCTTGTCCGCCGTTGTTCTGGTTTCAAATTGGAACTCTTGATCAACTAAGAAGCAAGTCCAGATGCCTACAGGTTACGGTCATGAGCTGAATCCCAGCTAGCACATGCAGCGCTGCCACCTTCTCCACCTGAATAACGTCCCCATCGCAACACCAGGCTCTCTTGGACCTCACTATAAGGGTTAAGTGTACCCGTGAATCAACCAAAAAGGATCACATGCGTTGGCCGCCGTACAACTCCCAACAACAGACTATTTCTCGGGGTATTCTATCAGGCCAGGCCCATCTTCCTCTTTTGGGTGGCATTAACCGCTGGTCGGGAAATGAATTCGTGCTTCCACCGCTCCCACCTCTAGCATTAAAAGGGGGGGAGGAAGGGAGAGGGGAGGGGGGCGATGAAGGTGCATCAAATTACACGAAAACAGAAGATTGTCCAGGTATTATGGAGCTTGTATGCGTAAATAAGATATCCTACCGTGGATAATCCAAGTTACGCATACGTGTGAGATGATATCTGGATCACACCTCCAGGAACACGTTGATCCAGCCCGCTTAGAGTACAGATATTCTAACCCCTTTGCTGTTTAGGGAACGACCGATGTTTAGTCAAAGGGTCGATGCTGATCTCCGTTGCAAAAACCTGTTTTCAGCACAGCGCTGTCGTTACACATTTAGATGCTGCCCAGTGAGATGTCTCACAGAAAACAGCAGATCTGTGTTCGGCCCTCTCTACGGCACTAGAGACTCCTACTATGTGGACAAGATGCGTACATAGTACGGTATTTGCAGACCAGCCATAAAATCAATCAGAGCCTTGAGGAAATCGCACGGCTCACATGTTACACGGCATAGCCGGGTCGAGCACATCGCCATGACATGGAATCAGGGGTAAAATATCATCAACAGGTGTGATAGTTAGGACTTAAATAGCGACGTTCAGCACCTTCGCTTGCTCTCTATATCTATCGCATCCTTCACTTATCTCTATTCGCTCATTCACCTATCCTTAAGCTCACTTTCCCATTCAACCTTATCCGTTCTTTAAGCAACTGATTTCCCAGTGAGTTAGTTGTACTATATTACATTTTATTACCAAAGTATATCGATTAACAGGCGCAGAATCCATTTCCAAAATGAAGGTCCAGGCTGTTCTCGTCTTCTTCGCCAGCGCCTTGGCTCTGGCCGCGCCAGTCGCTGAGAAGCGAGACCTCCCTGTATGTTTTCACAGCTTTCATCCTTACCGTCGTTACCTTGTGGCTAATACTTGATGACTATAGGTTCTCGGAACTCTTGGAGTAAGTGCTGCGTAAAAATTTGGGGTCTCAGAGACCGAATGATTAACCATTCCTACCACTTTCTACTTTCTAGACAGCCGCCAAGTTACCGGTAAGTGTATCGTCACCACTCCTCGGCAAATCTGGAAAAATCATCTAGATGGGTCGAAGGCCTGCTGTTGATACGGGATTTTTTTTGGATCTTATAGGGAAAACTCCAGGATATTGTAAGTGCTTCAGAGACGGGTGCTCGTTGGTATGATGGCTGTGGATAACTGACCTATCATTCAAGACATCCAAACTTCTACCAACCACGGGACTCGGGAATCTGGGTGGAGGCGTAAGTACTCCTCTATGACCTTAAAGAAGAGACCAAAAAGGATAGATATGACTAACATTTGGAACCATTGCTTTGATTTTAGCAAGTGAGTACTTTCCCAAAGTTATCAAGCCAGTGAGGGATAGAGTTGACTTGTTCTCCTTGTCTTTGATCGGGTATAGAAGGTAAGAATGTCCTCATAATTTCTTGGTACACAGGACGAGCATTGGCTGACTGATAATCGCGGTATATAGTGATGGAATGAACCTAGCTTCGCTGGAGAAGTTATTATGGATTTCGGGGGCTTCCCTTCTTGTCATACCTTTTTTGCAATGTGTCGGTGATGGATCGTTTGAATATTCTGCAATGTGGAGACCCATGATCCTTTGGTACTTTGGTAAGAATTACTCTAGCCCTAGGAACACCCTATAATTTTGAAAAGGCCGCTAACAACTTATTGTAATCATAAGACCGCAATTTGGATTTCTTTGGGTTTTCGGATAATTATGCGTGGAAAAACAATTGTGCAGGAGATATGCTAGCGATTCGTCATTTGATATTCCATGAACTATTTATCCAGTCACAGTTGTCGCGTCTTTCGTCTTCTGCCCTTCTCCTGTAGTCTTACAATTTCTCCCTTCTCAGTTGTAAGTGTCAAATCTGAGAATGAGATGAAATTTCTGGTAGTGTTGACTAAGATATGAATAAGCGCGAATATGACAGCAAGTTTTGTCATCAAACCTTAAGTCACGTGTAGATATCATATCTCTGGCCAACCAGAGAATATCGGTGACATCTTCAACTTGCTGAAAGAATGTCTTAATTGTGAGTGCAAAGCCGAGGAACAGTAAAACTTTTCATCGGAGCGGTAATAGTAGAAGATTCAATCCTTGCGCAGCATCAATTCTAATACCCCTTTATATCAGCTATGTCCGCTTCAGCGACAAGATCAGAGATGACGCAGCTTCCCTCCACAGCGAAAACAGAGGCTCAAAACCAAAGCGAAACTCTGCACCAGATACAAGATACTGAGAAGCTATCACAGGATACCCCTGGAGCCGAAAAGGAGGAACCAACATCTATATTTCAAGGCCTTGGTATTCTTGACCGGTTTTTAGCTCTATGGATCTTTCTGGCAATGGCAATCGGTATCATTCTCGGGAATTTTGTGGATAATATAGGACCTGCTTTACAAAAGGGAGCCCTTGTGGGCGTCTCACTGCCAATTGGTATATACAAGTTTCCCTACTGAGTTATATATCTTTATCGTTTATGATCCAACTTAAGGAGAACACTAATACTGAGTACTCATGTTCAGCGATTGGGTTACTTGTCATGATGTATCCAATCCTCTGCAATGTGCGCTTCGAGTCTTTGCATCATGTGTTCGAATCTCGTGAGATATGGATTCAGTTGGCCTTTAGCATATTTATAAACTGGATCATTGCTCCATTTCTCATGGTAAACAAACATCGAGTTGAACCTGTGCCAGATTTATTAAAGCTAACAAAATAACTCCTTAAAGCTAGCGCTTGCATGGGCATTTTTACCAGATGAACCTGAGCTCAGAGAGGGACTGATTTTGGTCGGCCTAGCTAGATGTATTGCCATGGTATGTATCCTTTTCTGCTTCGATTCTACTATGTTGGTATTTCAGCGACTTGCTGTTAATGATTTCTGTTTAGGTTCTTATCTGGACGGGCCTTGCAGGAGGGGACAATGAATACTGCGCAATCTTAGTTGCCGTCAACTCCTTGTTGCAGATGGTGCTCTTTGCTCCCCTTGCGCTACTATTTATCAAAATAATTAGCCACTCAGAGACCTCGATCTCACTATCTTATCCTGTGGTAGCAGAGAGCGTTGCTGTCTTCCTTGGGATACCTCTTGGTGGTGCCATAGTCACCCGGCTTATCCTGCGGAACTTTGCTGGACCCACATGGTACGATAAGGTATTCATGAAGTGGCTTAGTCCATGGTCCTTAATTGGGTTATTATTCATCATCCTGGCCCTCTTTGCATCTCAGGGGAAGCAGGTTGTTCATCAAATCGTGTCCGTTGTTCGAGTCGCTGCACCCCTTCTAGTATATTTCATCATAGTGTTTTTCTCTACACTATACCTCACTTTTCGGCTGGGCTTTGGATATCGATTGTCAACCACGCAAAGTTTTACCGCTGCAAGTAATAACTTTGAGCTTGCAATTGCAGTTGCGATTGCAACATTTGGTACAGAGAGCAGTCAAGCTCTTGCTTCAACCGTTGGTCCATTGATAGAAGTTCCTGTTCTTTTAAGCCTGGTTTATTTTGTCAGGTTTGTTGCTAAAAGGACCAAATGGAATCCCTAGAGGGCAACGCTTGATACCTACTTTGATTAGCAGGCGTTATTGTACGGTCTATAGACCCTCAGCCAATACAAGGCATACTCTTGTCTCAATAACTTCTAGTAACGTGTATATAACAGCGAAATTCTAATAGAAAGTACGTTAAAAGGCATCAACAACCAAAATGTCACGCTTAAGGAGTCAGAGAGAAGCCGGAGCACAGGTTCGAGTACAGAGTACGGTAAAGAGCTGCCTTGCCACAAATCCATATCTTATACTCTGTAAACAAGGGAGACGCGTAAATGATTGAGACTAAGGCCTTGGCGCGTTAGCCCCCTCCATGACGTAGCGGGGTAGATCAAAACAACCAAGCTACTCTTTTGGTTTTGATAATTATTTGCGATGCAGGTCACAAACTGTAAGTCCATCTTACCCGTTTCATCTGGGTCAATCAAATTCTTTACCATCACATTCTTTGGGTACTGAAAATAATACTGTCGTTTTACCGTATGGAACCAGCATTGCTCTTCATCTAATTGCTCCCTTACTAACGTTATACCGAAGCTGGATAGTGTCCACCAAACTGCGCTTCCCTCACTATGGAAACCGTGCTTCCGGAGAAAGCAGAACAAAAGAGAAAGCAGATAAAAGATATGATCGCGAAAGATGCTGTGGCCCACGAAGGGGATAACAAGCAGTATAATACTTACGAGATCAACTTCGCATTGAAGGAAATGCTAATAGAAATGGGGTTCCCGGTAAGAACTAGTGGTCTATATGTGCGTATTTAGGTGGCTAAGATCTTACCAGAATATGGACTGGACTATGTGGCTTTTCACAAAACCAAGGATAATTATTAACAATTCTCGGAAAATGGATGTTGTTCCTATATACATCCTATCTGGAGAACAAGCTATTGCCCCGGATTGTATATTGAAAGAAGGGTATTCCGTGAATTTTACGAATCAACCGGTGCTCCAACCCAAGGTCGTTGTTGTTTTTATATTTCCCTTCGATAAACAGTCGACAAGCCCCGCTCAATCACTTGATGCTCCCAGGGTACAACATTAGTGGGCGGCAAGGTGTTCTGGATGCTACGACTAAAAGACTGATCAAAGTTCCTTGTCAAACACCTCACATATTAACGCTTTGCTAAGATATTTTTATCGAGTGTGTCATATAAGATCACAGGGTCGAATGGAGGCATATGTCCTGCCCAGGCATCATAGGATTTAACTTAAGAATCCAGTCACCCTGCCTGGACACCTCTGAATGTAAGCATGTTGGCAGTCACCCTGCCCGGACAGCTCTGGGTCAAACATAAGCGTGTTGGCCCAGTCACCCTGCCCGGACAACTCTGGGTCAAACATAAGAATGTTGGCCCAGTCACCCTGCCCGGACAGCTCTGGGTCAAACATAAGCGTGTTAGCCCAGCCACCCTGCACCAACGTAGAACTTAGTACGTTCCGTGGGCCTTGGTTATATGAACCATGCGTGTCAGACTGAGGTTGGGCTAGTTGAAATGATATACCCTCGGGAATCTCTTGTAGTACCGGCGGCTGTAGGACGGTTGGTTCGTATGGCAGGTGAGCCCCGGTAACCGCGGTTCTTGGGATAACATTGCATGCTAATGATATTAGCAAGCATATTTGATACATCAAGAGTGAAGACTCACTGCTGGGTCGAGCTTCAGTTGATGATGGAAGATTTGGTGACGCAGCTCGCTCGTGCTGGGCAGTAGTCAAAACAGCATTGTGGGAGCAATTCGTCGTCCTCGAAGGCCTATGTATAGGCTCTTCCGGAAGATGCTGATTATGGTTGTCTCCAGTAGAACGCGTCTCGCCATCATGTGCAGGAGGATGTAAAGTTCTCAGTTGGTACTTTTGTACTCCTTGTCGTCGCCTCTTCGCGCCTAATAGAGTCAACTCTATCTCCCAGGGGTAGTCATTCAAACTTACTCGATTTATGCCCGTTTTGGCTAGCATTCCGCTTTTTGTACATCTCTAGAGGACGAAAACGTTCCCGTAACTTTGAGGAAATATCCTCTCCAAGACGTTCTAACTCCCATTTTTTCACGATGTTTTCAATCTTCAAGCCACGGAGGGAGTTGGATACCTCAGGGATATATTTACGGAGGCCTCGGTGCGTGTATCTAAAATGTAAAGTCAGTATTGTAAATAGAAATGATATGGCAACTTACTCGGTCTCTGAAATCTCCAGTGGTAGAGCAATCAGGTAACCTGGGTGTCCAAGTTCCAATACCCACGCGTTATAACCTCGACCCAGCTCTATGTCAGAGCGAAGATTTTTGCGTATTTCATCATGGTCGCCCGACAACGGATGCTGCGCCTTTATTTCTCTAGCGAGTTTATTTGCCGCACCCCAGACGAATCCATTTTCGGAACAATACCCATATTCGGTGGCCAATAGAAAGAAATTGCGTAGATCGAACCGACGATGAATCTTCACAATGTCTCCGATTTCCTCGCACTGGCGAATCTTTAAATATGCTGCCACTAGGCCCCCAGAGGTAGGAAGATACCCTTGAGAAAGAGCTTTAAAAAGGGGACCGGAGCCCTTTTCCACTTTGCAGTTCTCTAAAATCGTGTGCAGTGATGATGGTATTTTGATTTTAGTCAAAGAGGGAAATCTGCGGCGTTTATCCCACGAACTCACTCTCTTCCCGTGAGCTTCGTCTCCCTCCACAGCTCCATCTTCATCTTCATCACTGCTGTTATCTTCTTCCTCACCTGCTCTCTCCGCGTCTCTGTCTCCCCCATTGGCACTTCCAACTTCGTCTTCGTTTTCTTCACGTATCTGTTCATCTTCTTCATCTCCCTCCCCATTTTCGTCTCTCTTCTTCCCCAATAAATGCTCTAAAGTTTGTGGGAGCCATCCGATATACTGTCTTTCTGTATTTGGCAGTGTATCGTAGCAGCCCCTACATTCTTCGAGCGATATCACCTCCTTGTTTTCTCTTAAAAAGTTGGCCAAAGCGATGAGGAGCCCCTTTAGCATTTGGAGCCTTTCGGTAACAGGACTTGGGTTCATGGTCAGAGAGAGAAAGCAGCACGATGGGCTCCCTTATTTTATCCAAAAACAGTTGATGTAACAGGAAGGGCGGCTGTCACGTCTTCTTAAAGGCTGTCCCCACCCCTGGTCCACTTGCTAGCCAGCTGGGGGTCAGAAATCCAATCTTACTTTTTAACTATGATTTTAGCGCAAGCTTTCTCGGGCCGTGATGGGGATCCCGAAACCTAGCTGAGCTTGAAGGTCCAGCCAGGCCTCTTCCAAATTTTGAGGGCAGGATGCAAATCGACGAGATGGTAGAGCCATCTCTATTCCGTGTTTTTTTTTCCCTTTTAGAGAGAATTGTCTATAAGAAAGCTCACTGCTCCTTGGGAGCTTTTGGGCGCCTTTTTCTGCCTGAACCATGCATGTTCCACGGTCAGCAAGATATAGTCCTTATCCGGTGGTTACGATCACAACATGTCCCTGCTTGAGTGTCTGTCTTCCTGGCTGGGGTTGTGTTTGGGCAGACGGAAAAGCAGCGTGAAAGTGTTTCCCTCGAATACACAATCTACAGAGTATACATGCTTCCCTCCCTTTCGCTATGTTTGGCGGATGCTAACGGCTAGCTATAGATCGATGCATGAATCGCTTTTTATAGACCAAACACATGAAGTCCTTCGACTCAATGGGATGAAAGGTAATAATCCCCTGGTCGAAGTTAGGACCCACGATGGCAGTATCAGACATGGAGACTGTCGCTGGGTGGATTTTGCACACATGTCACGAGCATGGGAGGTATACCAGAGAGATGACGGAGAGACTTTCAACCCAAGTATCAAATCGATGATCTTCCTCTGCCACAAGGCTGGTAAACAGACACATAAGCGTTGGTAAGCATCCCATCTGTATTATACCTCCGAGTACCCACTGACCTTGTGCAAGGCGTGGTCGAATGGTTGTGGCGAACACAGACGCCGTAGACCGTATCGAAAGCTACCAGGGAGTTATTTACGGCACTGCGACAGGTGGTAGGCATATGGTCTTAGCTACTGCTTGGGTTCGAAGAAAAAGGGAGCAAGTTATCTTCCCGAGTGTTAGTATGTACTGGAGCCGTAGAGTGGGTGATAACCCCTCAAACATGGAGTGGCAGCATATAGAGAGGTATTTAGCAGCAGAGTCTCAAGGATCTGATCCTGTCTTCAGTTACAGTTTTCACCAATAGCAGTGATATTCTAACCTCCTCGCCAACCTCCAGCTCGGCATAGAAATGGTCCTAGTCTGCTGCCTGTGAAAAGTAATTACCTTTCTTAGTATTTGCATTCCCCTTGGACAAACAGTCGACTGCCTTTGGCTATGCCATCAGTGGTCCCACAGGGGCCCACCTGCATACGCTGCCAAGTCAAGGCGAAAATGCCCTTTGCATTCGTCAAACATATCTTACAGGAAAGATGAACAGTATGAGCCTCCGTTTCTTTACTCTACCTGTATATTTGAACATTGATCCAGTCTCAATTCAGAACTTCCACTTCCAGAATTACCATGTTATAACTCCATTCGTAAGTAATGATATAATTAAAAGAGTAGCGGAAGATATTTGAGGCATGTCAAATTCAGGACTCAGCAGGTGAAATACGTTTCCAACGAAGCTGTAACCATTACGTGCATGGTCTAGAATATAAGAGCTAGCAGGGATATAAAGGGGATAGCAGTGCCCAGTGGATATGGTATCTCTCTGAATACTTCTCCCAGTGTCCAAACGCGCCACACCCTTCCCCAAGCAATGGCCAGCCTAGACCCCAGTGAGTATGGTATCTACCAGCTACTACCCCCTAACGGTACCCGACGACCGGGGAAAGATTATTCTGGGACAATTCTCATTCATTGGATGCGTATTATGGATACCCAGGAGGACGTGGTGGATTCTAAATCTCAAGTGGCCGAATTTGAGTATAAAGGCGGAAAGCTGATAGAATCAACCAAAAATGAGCTCTGTTACCTACGGCATATCCTCAAGGGCCTGCCCCTAGGATCTACCTTGGCAATTCGACCTAGGGGGTATAAATTTTTCGGCGCAAGGGTGAAAAGAACAGGGAATAAGCTGATCCTTGTATTAGAAACACAGGCTTTCCTGGGGAGGGGTCAAATGAAAGGTTTACTCTGTAAGAGGACCCAACCTCAAAAGGTTTAAACTGTGCCTAATCGTTGCAGGATATTCTCAATAATTCGGGATAGTACGCTCGGCATGGCTGAATGGGATCGATTGGTACTCCTTGATTATATCCCAGGAGTGGGGAAGTTCTTTGTTGAGCGGATGTCGCGCTCGAACTGGAATATTGCCGCCGAAAGTATCCCAGAGGAAGCAGAGGCCTGGGCGAAACTGGTTAAGGATAACTGGCGCGGATTTTGGTATGGCTTTTGGGAGCAATACTGTCGGGATGTTAGCGAGGTAAAGATCATTTTCGTCGAGTATCTTAGGGTCTGTACGAGAGTAGAAAGCCTTGATGCTTTCATGTGTTGAACTTCACTCTTTGCAATCCTCGGAGGGCATTCTTCCTGATCCTCTCTCTGATTCATCTTATTATTTCTTGGTCTCTTAACTTTTTGTTCTCTTTTTAGGCTACAGGTCTATCCAATGCCTGTTCTTGTAAGAAGCTCACAAATAATTATTTGAACTGTCCCTACCTAACAAATTGAACCATAAAACTTTCCTTTGTATGCTCTGGGACGGCCATCACCTGGCGGGAAAGGCGTATATATAAACGCATCTTTAATATATTCTCATTTTCAACACCTAGACGAACCCGCCTAGACAGAAATTATGTCCCAGACCGCCATGTATTATTTTCTGAGCATACCCTCACCCTTTGGTGTCGGCTGGAAGGAATGGAAACAGCAGAAAAGTTGCTGCAGCGTACTTCAAATTTCCTTCGCGCGAACCATTGATTAGGTAGTTATGGGTTTGCATGTACATAATATGATGAAAAGTCGCCTGGGCTATCTTAGAGACGGTTTTATCTGAAAGTACGCCATTTTTTGTTGACTTATAAAAGATGCTATGATATGAGCCTGATGAAAATCGTCAAAATCAATGGAAGAGTAGGTGCAGCGAATGGTGATTGGCTAAATGTGAAAAGTAAATATTTGGCTGATTAAGTAATGACTAAGTACAGAATTTTAGTCAGGTGTAATATCACGTGCAAATAAACCTTAGTTATCTCTGCTTATCGATAAGAATTTTCTGCCACTTTGAAGCGACGGCGACATCGTGATGATACTATAGAAAAGAAAAAAGAATGCAGACATAACCATGCCTCCGACGATATGTTTTAGCTGCAAATCTGCCCGTGCGGTTATTATTCGGCCAAAAAACCGCCACAAGCTTTGCAAGGAATGCTTTCTCGCCATTTTCGAGACAGAAACGCATCAAACGATCGTAAACAGCTCCCTATTCGTCCCAGGCGAGCGAATTGCTATTGGTGCCAGTGGTGGGAAAGATAGCACAGTTCTCGCCTCCGTTCTAAAGACATTGAACGAACGATATAATTATGGCCTTAATCTCGTTTTACTCTCTATTGATGAAGGAATCAAGGGCTACCGCGATGACAGCCTGGAGACAGTGAAACGAAATGCAGTTCAATACGACATGCCCTTGGAGATAGTCAGCTATGGAGAACTATACGGCTGGACAATGGATCAGGTTGTTGCGGAAATTGGGAAAAAGGGCAACTGCACCTATTGCGGCGTATTTCGTCGCCAAGCTCTCGACCGCGGCGCTGCAAAGCTGAATATCAAGCATGTTGTCACTGGGCACAATGCCGACGATGTTGCTGAAACAGTCATGATGAATCTACTGCGTGGTGATCTTCCTCGCCTGGCCCGTTCGACAAGTATCGTTACGGGTTCGGCAGCCAGCGATATTAAACGGAGCAAACCGTTGAAATATGCGTACGAAAAGGAGATTGTTCTTTATGCTCATTATAAAAAACTTGATTACTTTAGCACTGAGTGTATATACTCTCCCGAAGCGTTTAGAGGAAGCGCCAGGACACTTATCAAAGATTTGGAGAGAATCCGGCCAAGTGCTATTCTTGATATTGTCCGGAGTGGCGAAGATATGGCCAAACTAGTACCAGCAGAGGTATGTGGAGGCACTGGCTGTTCATCCACAAAGACAGCGACGAGGAATGAAGTCGACGAGTTTTCGTCCGGCGGATGCGGAAGTCAGAATGGAAGAAGTAGTGGTGGAGAAATGGCAGACATGGAGAAGAAACTTACAGAAGACGAAGATGCAAAGTCTCGCGAGACTGAAATATCTCTATCATCCCTTCCTACGAAGGCTGGAAAAACTATCACAAAACAAACCCCTGCAGTGAGCCAGGCCCGTGACAAAAAGCAAAAGCCCTTGAAGACACAAACGATGGGACAGTGCGAGAGATGCGGGTACATGTCCAGCCAAAAGATCTGCAAAGCGTGCATGCTTCTTGAAGGATTGAATAAAAACCGGCCAAAAACGAGCGTTGAGCTTGTTGTTGGTGTTGAAGAAGAAGAAGGCAGCTCGACATTAATGAGGCAAATGGAAAGCATTCAGCTGTCTGGTAGCTGACACTAGGGCATACCTACTACACCTCAGAAAATGCCTGATAACTCTCCGTGGGATACGCTGCCGTTCCCATTTGGCAGCCATTTTCTCAATTAATTATTGATTATGCCTTCATACGTGGTCACAAAGAGATTTCAGCAGTTAGGATCTCCCACGGAGGACCAGACGATATCTGAAAAACCTCTTAAATCTGGTGTCTGTGTCATGGTTTTACAGGTAGAGGTGTCTAGCAGATCTCTTATATATAGTATCTTAGGTTACGGCAACTGGTGTATATTTGAATAGAATAGATACCCAAAAATATTTAGATCTTTTCTTCCCACGACAGGGGCTCTAACGGATATTTACCACCTGTTTGTGCTGCAAGAACCTATGTCTAAGATATATTAATGATCTTTTATCAGATAATTATACGCTACATTTTGACTGTATCTTCACCGTCTTCTCAAATGGCCCCAGTCATACTACTTGCAAATATAGATTATTGGAATGATACAAGATGTAGGATAGTATATGTCAAAGAGTTGGGGCCTCCCAGTTATCTCTTTTAAGCCTCATAATAGCACACTGCTTATCTGGCAAAGTGAATTCACCCTCCTTATAGAAGCCTGCTTCGGTAAGACTAGAGATGTATCTGTAACTCAAATGTTAATGGCTAAGTTATTCCAAAAAAGATAATACTTACTTGTCGTCATCGACCCTTGGCCCAACCGAAATAGCCTGTGTCCGGTTGTCTGCCAACAAACAGTAATGAACCAGCGCATTGAGCCACACCTGCGTTTGATGGGGGTTTCTGTCTTCATCATCGAAAACTATACAGCGAAGACCACGATCAAAATCATCGACCAAAACAGGCAACGGCCTCTTGACCGAACCCTCTTTGACCCAAACTATTTCAAAATAGCCAAATGGTTTGCCGTTCCAACACCCTATTGCAGGGAATAGGTATTTTGAGGTAAGGCGTGCTTTGATGAACCGCTCTTGGACATGATGGGGGCCACCCGAGTCCCACATATCCTGACCTTTGGGGGTGTTTAGCACTTTGTGTAGGAATTCGAGGTCTGATCCCCAAGTTTTGGGTAAAGCGTGCTTAGTGGTCTCTCCTTTTTCCAAGTTGCTGCAAATCGCTCTATGGTATCGACCTAACGCATTCTCACCAGTATCTGCTGAATTTGTTGCGAGGATTGGCACACGGAATGATAGCATCTTCTTTAGGCTGGGAATGTAGCGTATATAAAATGTTTCACCCTGGCGAGGCGGCTTTTGACGAATTGGATGGCGGAGCCACCCGTCTAGCATGACCCATTGAGCGGGTGGTGGAGGGAAATAGGATGGCACATGGCCACTTGAATAAAATGAGCCCAGAGGTGCTGGTGAAGCGGTCATTCGGCTACCATGACTTCCGTTGTTCATAATATCACTGCGAGACGGGGAACATGAACGAGACGGCGATCCTGACCCTGGAGTCATATCAGGAGCTAGTGAGAATAGGAAAATGTGAGGATCAATCTGCCAGAAACTCCTACGACTGACAAACATGTCCAGTTTTGCCGGAGGGCCATTGGGATCCTCTAAGCCAACTATCGAGTTCTCGGTTGTAACCAAACCCATCCTCTCGAGTTTCAGCAATAAGTTCCGGCCCTTAAGAACACCCTCACGCCTAATGTGTATCAGCCATTCCCCCCTTGGTCGAGCACGCTCTGGAACGGCGACTGAATCTTTGGTGGTGAGACGGGTGTTTGGCACCGTTTGATGAAAGTACCAGTATAATGTCGACCAAAGAATCAACGCGATCTGACATGTTGCGATGGAATTTGGTACGGCGGCTTTGCTTGAGGCAAGGTTGATCGACGATATAAATAAATAGTCGCTGTTAAGGGTCGGCTGCGTGTAATGGTTTGACTCCCATTCAAACGGGTTATCCTCTTCATTTTGGGTATCTTCAGACTCAGAACTAGGACTTGTCTCAGCCTGAGTGGCTTTGCGATTGCGTATGGAGTTTATAACGATTGACCATCCTGGTGGTAAAAGGCTGCTATTGCCAAAATTAAGTCCACCAGTTTTGAAGGAAAAGCCTTCAAAAACTCGGGTTACCGTGAGAGAATAGCCGTCTGGGAGAAGGATTGTATTTGTATTAGGCATAATCCAGGGTAAGCATTACTCGATTCCTCGAGATTGCATGAATAGCCGTTAGAGCTTTTAGGGATTTTTATTCTTGTGAGGTGGTGTATGGAAACACCATCGGGAGTAAGATATCACCGTCCGTTTAATTACCCTGTTGCTGTGTCTCCATGCTCCCTTTATATGACCATAGAGACTTACAAGATACTGACACCTGACATCAGTTTGGAAAGTTAGGTTGAGATGATGCAAGAATTGCAATGCAAAAACTCTTTTCAATCCTCGGCCCGAAGGGATGAATTGTCGGGGGTTTAATCATATATATACTTGCTAATAATAGTGGCGGATAGCTATGTATAGTTCAATGATATCGGCCGTCACGTCCTTCCGCTGTCTCAACCGGCTTCTTCATACAACATTGGTAAATGTGATATCCCCAATAGGATACGGTTAAGCTTGTTGCCACAGCCAGAGTAATAGAGGATCACCATCTAAAGGCTTCTATAGTTTGTCTGTGTATGGATATAAGCGTGAAATTTTCCATAATAGGCATAATGGTGTCGCGAGATATTTAAAACCAATAGTTTCTAATCGCTATATAATCAAGCTAATCATAAAGTGCTTGAACCAATGCCTGGCGCCAGCCTCGCCGTATACGCCCCCAGTTCCGCTCCCATGGAGAGATAAATATCACGTACCTTATTGGCAATCCAGTGCATAAGCTGCTTACCTAAATCAGCTGGCTGGAGCGGCTACAGGACATCAGGTTGCTCACACTTGTTAAAAGATTTGGGTCAGTCAGTACGTTGGTACAGACGGAAAGCGAATAATGGGACCTTCACCCGGTGAATTGATCGGTTCTGCTGGACGCCGCTATATCTTGAAGCGCCTGATCCAGGAGAGATCACATCTCGGCCGCGTCTGGTTGGCAACGTCAGAGTACACTGGCCCCTTATGAAGCGTATTTTACTAGACTAACAGTACTCCAGGTCCGGGCAAGAGAATTTTGTCTTAAAGGACATTCCAAAAGCTATTTTTTCGAGTTTTAACGAGGACATACGCCCGCGGCTACGTGAAAGCCCATATCTACGGTTACCCTACGATACAATTCCAGATCAGCGAACATTTGTGTACAAATATATGAATGATGATCTCCTAGGTCTCATTAGAAAGCAAATACCCATGCAAGCCCGGAAGCAAATTCTAAAGGCCAGCTTGCGAGGCATCGCAGAACTGCACAGCCATGACATTGTTCATCTAGGTGAGGACGCGCACTTCTCCTTCCGTACGCTTGATCTAATTGTTTCCAGATATTAAACCTGATAACATTATGGTTAACTATCGCGGTACTGGCTTGGAAACGATCATTGAGCAGGTTCAGATCATTGACCTTGAAAACGCTGCCTATCTTCCCAAAGGGAGGTGCATTAAAGGGATGTTAGCTGGCAACGATAGCTGGCGTAGTCCAGAGGGCCACCTAAAGGGCGAGCTTAATAAGCCTTCTGATATATTCTCTTTTGCAGCCGTAGTAGGTCTCCTTCCTTGAGAGAGAGTATTTATTACCCGGCTTACCTATTTAGTGTATCTATGCCATGCTTGGACAAGTTATCTTTGGCGCCGATGAGGATTTATACAAACACGAAGCACAGGGCGCATTCCCTCATATTATTCGCTTACAACGTCAAGTTTCTTTTTTTGGGGATCGAAATGGATTAAATGGGCTCATTACACATGTTGGTGACGAGGAAATCAACTGCCAAGTCCTTGGGTATCTCTGGGATGATCGAGTGGCCGATTATCATTCCTATAAGCCATTTTCAGAATGGCCAAATGTCATCGATATCGAGTTCAAGAACCTGATCTTAATGATGACGAACTTAGATCCTCAAAAGCGGGTAACGGCACGTGAAGCGTTGGAGCATCCCTGGTTTTCAGGTTATGAGATTGATTAAATATCTTCTTATAGAGCTTTCGGGTAGTATATAGCCACCGATTTGTAATTTGTCAGTGGTAACGACCATCACCTAATACTATATTGAGCCTGGGCTCCGTAATTCGGACTTACGAACATATCCAGCTGTAGAACCTCTCTACACGTTTGTTATCGGGTATTTGCCACGCTCGGCGAAATTATCCGCCATGATAAGCTCTCCAACCTCCACTAGGCAAGCCTAGCCTGGGCTATGTATCTCTGCGTCCTGGAGGCAGGATTCCGGTGTATCCACCACTACTCCACGACCCAGAACTGGAGCCTATGTATTATGGGCCCAGTGAACCTCCGTAGCATTTTTTTTTGCAGAACACGGGGATCTAATTTGCCATATTCAGCCGACAAGATCCCGTAGCACTGATAAGTTGGGTCCTTTGGTCTTGTGGGCAATGTGGTAGACAGATATTCTGCCGGAAAAGAGTGAATTCTCAGAGGGCATGCAACAGAATATGACGTCTGCTTTAGTAGTTGACCTCATTAACCAAGCTCAGTCTTAATCGCTACATTTAGGGCTTACAGCGCCGCGAATTTAACAGCGTCATTGTACCTTTGTAGGAGAGTAAATATCTTTCTGGAGTTGGCTTGCACGTTCAAATGGACCGATAAAAATGTTGACACTCTTGATCTGGCTGTCCTGGAGGAGAAGAGCGGGGCGTACGTGCCAGAAGGCAGGGCAACCGGCACCGAAAACAGTAAAGTCTTCCACATTCCGGCGCCTATCAAAAAGTAGCAAGGAGCATGAAACGGAGCGAAACGGAATCGGTCTTCTGTAATTACCAGGGCGGTTGGTGTTCCAAATGCGTCCGTTATTGTAAGATGTCCAGATCTGGAGCCATAAGCACCCTCTATGTTGACCGTAGGATCAAGATCCATCGGTGAAAGACCTGCTCCTTAGTGATAATATAGGGGAGCTGCTTAGATCGAATAGTGTAGGCGCAACCGAATCTTAAGGGCTTCCAGCAATCAACGTCTTCATTGGAAAAGACGATGAGATCGATCGATTTCGTCTTCCCTTCACCCTATCCTCCGGAATGTTCGTCACCCAAATCCTGTATTTTCTCCGGATGCTGGAGGCATTAGAACCGAATTAGTCCATCTTGCTTTCTAACAACCGTTTGCCGTCGTATCCTGGGATCAAGCAGGTCTTTGGCTGCTGATGGAGAATTCCCGTAGCACTTTGGCTAGTCTGCTCTGTATTGGCCCTCTGGTCGATTCAGTGACAGAATCAAAAAAGGAGCGGACATCGCCGTTAAGAATCGTTAAAGACACTGCAACGGTTTTATGGGCGAACACTTGGCTTCACCGATAAAACGCCTGGGATAAACCGATAGACACCCATAGGTGACAAAGTAGTTTTATCCTAAACTGTGGTATGGATGGGTTTTATCGGGTCTTTACCCGTAGAGGGACCACAGTCTGGAGGCCTGGAGAACATCCTTTGTTTCAAACTTTTCGGTCACTTCCGCTAGTTATGCTGGTTCTCTGATGTCTGTTCATGGGAAGACGAAAGCATCCACCAAGAACTTCCGTCAAAAGGTTCTGCAACAAGACCTGCGTCTTCATCTAGTCCCCATCTGGCATCTCGTCGTATTCACAGAGAAAAAAAACGCAAGGCCAAGGCTGACTTAGGCTTAGCGCTGGCGCTGTCCCATCTTGCTGGTCCGCGGGTGTACCTTAACTGTGGGGGGAGTGGAGAGGCTCAAGATGGGCTGGACAGAAAGACATTTATATATAAAGAACGGGGAGGAAGAGAGAAAATAAAGAGTCCACTCATGGGCCCAGCAGTCATTAGTTTATTACTCTGCTCTCTTTCTCGCACTTCCTTGTTCTCCTTTCTCTGTCGCATTTTCCCTTGACTAGTTATATGCAATTGAACAGTCCAACCATGTCCTGGCCGGTATCTCCCTCGACCTCCTATATCTCCCCTTCGTCTTTGCAGTCGTCTACCTCATCACGCATATTCCACATATACAACTCCTTCCCGATACACTACAGGATATCGGACCCGCAGAAACGACCACTCTACCACGTCGATAACTCCTACTTCACCCCCAGCACGCCTGATCTAAGCCTGCATCTAGGAGAAGATAGAAAGGGTCCATTGGCCGCCGTCTGCAAATTCGTCTTGTTTTCCACATGTTCAAAAATAGGATTGTCGCCTAACCTTCCAAAGAGCTATGATGACCGTCTCAGCAAAGAAGTTTTTAAAACCGCCAATGTCAGGACAAGTACCGAAGATATGACTTGGGAAGACCTAACTCGGGAAAGTCGTGACCATTCGACGTATAGGTTTGAGATGGATGTTATGGTGCAGAGTCAGCGGCGGGGACCAGAGCTTGGGCGTCGTGCGTTTGTCTGGAAGAGGACTCATTCTATGGGGGTGGAATCGTCTAAACCGTCCAAGTTGAGTGCGTGCAATTACAAACTGGTCGATGAGGAGACCGGTAAGATTCTAGCAGTTATTGCGAATAACGGGCTGAAGAGCATGAGCAAGAAAGGGAAGATGGAGCTGTTTGACATTGACGAATATGCGTTTGCGGGCGAGCAGCTTGATATCATGGTTTTGATGACTGGGATTGCTCTGCTGGAGAAGGAGAGGAGGAGGAGAGCACAGCGTAGATATGATTATTATTGAGCTGATAATCAAGCAGGCTGCTCCGTGGAAGGATGTATATATACCCAGGTCAACCTTTACGACCTCATTGTACAGTGTGTGGGTGTTCAGAGTTATGAATCGTGTTATGAAAAACATCACTGGATCCTATGATCAAAGACAGAACGTAAAAACTTCCATTAAAGACTCTAGTCGAGAGTATATTTTGACAGGAGGGTATCGGGTGTATAAAAGGGGATTTCGTTGTTGGTAGATGGGATATCGTATATGAAAATGGAAAAGCGCTAAAGAAGAAAACGAAAACACGTTATAAAATGGGGGCGTGATAGAACATTTCAAGGAAGAAAAGGAAAAGCGAAAAAGAAGTAAAACATAAAGCATTAACTATGACCACATATCTTCGTCACTCTTAACCAGGTCCTCTTCCATCAACACTCTTGGCCCATCCCGCTTCTGTCTTTGTTTCCGCTCCTGGCGGGTGACAATATGACTAGGCGTTAAGGGGGTTATGGGAGTGAATGGCATATATGGACTATAAGGGGTGCGAGGAACGCCCGTCCGCGGTCCATGCAAAAGATCGGGCCTTCGTTCAACGATGGTCGTCTTAGTTGATGGGGCGCTCATAGGGCTGTCGTAAGCAACACGGAATGGTAGTGGAGGCGTGCTGGTCTGGGCTGTATTGATATTCAATGATGGAGGAGTAGCACGGAATTTACGGCTACCAAGTGATTCTTTGCTAGGCGGAGAAGTAATGAAGGATGGAGAAGCCATGTTTGGTTGAGGAGAGTTGAGTTTCGCCTGTTCATGGGGAGTTAGAGGAGGAGGCCCGGGATTGTATGTGCGAGGGGAGAGAGGCTGTCTATCAAGGTAGTCACGAGAGTTGAGCTCGGGGGAGCCCATTGGGGATGAGATGTGGAGACCCCGTAGGGAGCTGCGGCCAAGCAGTTTCTTTGGTGAGGAGGTGGAGTTTTTGGATCGAGAGCTGAGGAAAGACAGCTGCGAGAGCCTGGAGAACCTTTCGGCTCGAGGTGAAATGGGTGATTCTTTTGAAGCTGGTTCCTCCTGGAAGGGCAGGCTTGAGTGATGCTGAGGTTCGAACTCAGTCACTGTTGGTAGGTGACATGCTGAGAGAGGGGAGGAAGGGGACACAGGAGACATTGGCTGCTGTTGGCGTCGTAAATGTCGGAACTCTGGAGGTCCCTCAAGCGGATTCAGACGTACGGGCGATCTCAAGGGCGAAGGAGGAGTTGTTCTGGTGGTAACCGTCTCTTGGGACATGGCGGATTTCCTCGCATCATGCTCCATGACGGCAGCGTAAAGTCTTTCCATCTCCTCCTGTGCTTTCACCCGATCTGCCTGAACGACGCTTTCGTCAACGGTTGAAACGCTGCCCGCTATCGAGGCTGCAGATTGTGCTCTATTTGAATGCGAAGACGACCACGGCAGATTGAACGAGCGAGCCTTGCTCTTGGGAGGACTCGGCCAGACATTACTCTGGGTCGTCGGGCTCATTGGGCTCGGCCATAGGTTGTTGGTTGAGAACTCCACCGGGGCTGGCGAGTCTTCCATCATTCCAGCAGATGGTTTGACGAGATCCATCTCTAGCGTTCCGTTTGACTCTTGTGCGCCGCGACGAAGCCGTCTGCCAACGGTTAAAAGACAACCTAGCAATAGAGACACGACGGCGATGTATGCTGCGACAATAGCAACAATCTCTCTCCAGAGCAACGCAGTATCTCTTATTGCAGATGCAGAAATTGGGGGTCCTTCGTCTGGGGGCGGCGCAGGGTCAATCCAGATGCTGACTCCCCAAATAGAATCAGCTCTGACTGGAATGAGCTGCAGGAGAAGAATGGAGAGAATGCAGGCTGACAACGTCGACAAATAAGCAGAACACAGAGTAGCCAACATCCTGTGGCGCAATATTGGGCATCTCTCTTCTCGCCCTTTTTATGTATATATAAGTTCCCTCCCTTAGTTGTGACGGTCCCTTATTTTCGAGATATTTCAACATGCGCGGGCGGGGGGGGGGGATCGGCAATGCTGCAATACGGGAGAGAGATAAAAAAAGGCCCATCGCAGCGCAGAAGCAGACCCTCTCTTCCTGTGTGGAGCAAGGTGAATGTGATGATAAAGCCCGAGAGGCGCCTCCAGCTCTGTCGTTGGATGCATCATCATGCAGGCCGCTGGATAGACCGTGATGAAGCGCCAGGGATTGTGCCCAATGAGGCCGAGGCATCGTTATTCTTCGCAGGGACGGCCTCTCTTCAGCGGCCTGGTTGGCCGGAAGGCCGTTTAGGCATGCAGGGCGAGCAGCCACCCGTCACACTGAGGCACCGTCTCATCACATTTTTCTTTTTTAGTTTCTTCATGCGCTTCCTTGCACAGCCGGTGTGCAGCAAATGGCAGTTGAGTATCACGTATGGCCAACCTTCTCCTCGTCCCGTCCCAGCGTCAGGCCACTCTGGACGCCCTCGAAGCGAGGTGACAGAACAGACAGAACAGCGTCTGGATGCTTCATCCTTGCAGGTTCTTTGATGTAGTTATTCGTCTATGTCGAGCTGGCGTTGATGTTGGTTGAGAAGACGTCGAGTTTGCCGAGTTTGGCTGTTTTTTTATTGACGACTCGCCTTTTTCTGTGCATCGAAGCAAATATACATACGGAGTAGCGTATTATGATATCGAGATATTACACAAACACTGGTCATATCTCTCAATCCAGCCATTGATACCATTGATTCGGGAGATTCCAGCCTGATTCTACTAGAACATACTCCGTACATCCATGGCGGAACAAAGGTTCACAGTCGAACCATGGATAGAGAGAGGCAACTTGCAGCTTCTATTATGACAGCATCTTCCAGCGTCCCAGAGGCCTACGGAGTTAGAGCTGGGCTGGTTACGCCTTCTAACCGGAAACCTCCATGTTGGCTACATGCTTAAAAAGAGCGACAGAGCCTGAGCCGCTGGCACTTCTTTACTCCTTCAAGTCCACCATGGGCAACAAGATATCTGCGGTCAGTGGTGTCAAATCTCCCAACTTCTACGAACCAGGAAACGCAGTCAACGAAATCTGGGTTGGCAACCTCGAAATAATCTCTCGACTTCCCTTTGGAGACTCAGACATGGCACAGGCTGGCTGGCCGAAGAACGACTATCCCAAGTTTCCGTGGCGGCCGTTCGTTATCCCTCTCTTCGCCATGTTCAGCAACGGTGTTGCAGCTGCAGAGACAGCAACGCAGGCGACAAGACCTTCAAATATGTCCCGACGTTCAACACCAGCAAATATTTCAGTCGATATTGGCGCCCATTGTTTCCTGGTTGCTATGATCATCTATGCCGTGGCCATGATTCTATGTGCTTGCGTTCCCAAGATTTACAACTATTATTACAAAGTATGGACTTCTTGGGAAAAGGTGAACAAAAGCACATGGACCATGTATAGCGTCACTCTTTTTAGCATCATCAGCAAAGCTACTATCACAATCTTCTACACGCCCCAGGTGGATGCGCTCTTAAGTGGGGCATTGCATAGCGCAGAACAGCTCAATCCGTCGGCGCATGTTGTCTGTTCCCTAGTTGTGATTCAGTACCTAGCTGTGGCATTCGCAACTTTAACTTACTGCATCGACCTTTACCAATATCGACGTCACCACTACCGTGAATGCACTGAGAGATTGATCTATGGGGACGAAGAATATCTGGAGACAAAGGGGGTTCAGACAGAACGAGAGCGGAAATCTCGCATACAAGGATTTGGACCCGTGCTCTATTTGAACGGTCTCCAGTTCCTCTGTGATACTATAACGACAGGGGCGATTATTGTGCTGATACTCTGGTCTGGTTGACCGTCCATTACCTTTCCCCTCTGGAGAGATGCTTTTTGATGACGTATGAGATCCAGGGTTGTAACTTATGGAAGAAGGGCCGCTCATTGTGTGTTTAATTTGTACTGCGGCATGCTTTCTAAAAAATACATTATCTATGTTCAATTCCACAAGTCTCGCCACATCTGCTTGAAACCGTAGCCCTTTGAACTGTCCTCATCGTATATTCGAGCTTCGTGGTTTAAACCCGGCGATGGAGATAATCCTCCCAGTCCAGTTTGTTGGCTACCAGAGGTCCCAGGGCTACGTTGTCCAGCTGTTGCCCGCTGCTTTATCTCTTCGGGGAGTCTGAGGGCGGTATCGGCATAGCAAGAGTCCAGCTCTCGCTGTAGGTTGAGATATGCCCTCTGCGCGACCTGTGGAGACTGTAGATTATATGACCGTATAGTCTCGTTGAGCTGTTTAATTTTCAATTCGTGGTATCCTCGCTCAGTGGCCATATACTGTGGGTCTCGCAAGCAAGGGAGGTTCTCCACGAGCTCATTATCAGCAGACGAGGGTGTACTCCCATCGTCTTTATAATCAGCTGGCTGCGCACGAGCTTGTAATACCTTGTTATGCTTGGACTCTGCAGCAGCGTAGCCGCGTGCACGTCTAATCTGCTCCTCTAACGTTCCTCCCTGACTCCGAATCATCATCACGGCATGGTTTCTCCAGTCCTCTCTCAGCCGGCTCCGAAATTGCATTATGCCAGACTGCATTGAGTGCTGTTTCTGTATCCACTCAGGGGTAGCCTCCTGTTTCTGTAAGATCCGATTCATCACGTATTCAGTGGTATCAAGATAGGGACTATCGGCAGTAGGGTCACGTTTAGTGTTTTTCCCTTTACCACGAGGAATATTCTTAAATTGACCACGCGCCATTGCATCCTCTATCCTTTCATTTGCCAACGAGCTAAGCCCCTGGATGGTGACCGGGAAGGAATGTACCCCCGGCCCGTAGCGCTCCCGGAGCTCCTTATGAAAGGACTCACGTTCCTCCTTAGAAGTGTTTGCATCCTGTTTTAGCGTGTATTCTGTAGTACGCTCGCGTGCTGCTGCCAATCTCTCGCCAGAGGATAGGTTTCTTTTAGGCTTGGGGGCAGCAGGAATAGGCCCTCCTGGCTGCGGAGGCCGGAACGGAACGCGCATAGGTTTGATTGCGTCGTCCAGCATGCGAAGTGTAGCATCATGGATGCTCTCGTCGCCCGTCCACGGCACCGCACCAGCCATATCTCGAGTGCCTTTGCCCGCGCTTCGCTTTTGTAATTAACCCTAATTAGTTTCCTGGAAATAAAAGGCTACAAAGACAAGAGATCGTAATTGCTCACTGGGAGGTTCGCATAAGCAATTGCCGCTGCATTTTCATTTTTGAACGAGCTCTCGGCAATTCTCTCCTGTAGCCTTTGTTTCAGTTCCTCTGAGAATCCAGCCTCTTGTATGTTCTTCCTTGCGGAACTGCCACCTTGCATTATGGCATCTTCGGTCATATCAGCCAGTCTCTTCGACATGGCACCATCACCATCACTTCCCGGCTCCTTATTTGCAGCATCCTGGACAGCCTGTGGATTTGGCTCTTGGTTATTATACTTGCGTTGGTGATATGAAAACGGTGGCTTTGTTGGAGTTTGAAAAGGTAACGGAGGCCTTCGGCCACTCCATAAGCTCTGTAGTCCCCGCCTAACAGCCCTATGATAGTTCATCTCTTTTTGGGACAATCCATCACTGAAAAACTGAACCCTGACTTGTTATCACTTGGTCTTCTTCGCTTTCATTCCATCAAAAAGTTCAAGCCTTTAATCAGCTTAATAAGCATTTAAAGTTTATACATCTTGGCTTTAAAAAAGAAGTTGAAGAGAAAAAGAAGAATGCGAATTTGATGCAATTTGCTCTGCTTGATTGAAGACCAGACGGCCGACTGGGCAGATAGAGGGTATTATAAACGGGTTCTCTGGGGGATTTGATCCTGTTTCTCGTTTTATACACACCGCCACCATGCCTCCCAAGTCTGCAGCGCGCGCAGGCACTATTCGACTCCAGTCCCTTCCACGATTGAAGGTCAAGAGTCCCATGAAATATGACCAAAACCCATGTCTTGCTGCCATGACAGCTGTTCTAAGTAAGCTTCTCTCATGATTCAATTGATATATATATTCCTTGTGTGACATAGTAGCTAACAACTTTTCGTCGTTCAGACTGCTGGGGAGCAACAGGTTATAGCATCCAAGGATGCTTAGCATTGGAACAGCAATTACGACTATGTACAGACTCGAACGTACGTTTTCCCTTGTTAATAGCATCCAAGGAGCAGGATATGTTCTTGTTGAAGTTGAGTAGCTAACCATTGTGCCTTTCGCCAACAGCCTACCAAAGTCAAACGGAAAAACACCGTCAACTACCATCTTGCCCGAATGTTCCGTATGATTTCACCGCGCAGAAAGAACCAATAAATACATACCTTGTTTCGTTAGCCATTTTCATATATTGTACAGCCCGCCTTTTCTGTGACAAGATATGTGAATCCTGGTTCTTCCATGGAGAAAACGAGGAAACACCAACACCGATTCCGAAGGATATGAGGAACAATGTAAACTGAATAGGCGAGATCGGGGGTTTCAAAACCAATTTTTTGCATTGGTATGGAGTTTGGGGCTTTACAACGGAATCTGTTACCATTTCTCTTTTTATCCTCTTTCCGTGGAGGAACAGTGTATTTACTACTGTTGTATAATAGAACTATCTTCAACACGCATCCTTTGTAAGCGCTGGATATTCTTCTAGGGGAGGAAGTTTGCTATTGCATTGCCATTGATACGAAAATCCAATCAACTATTGAATACCAACTCTATTACCCTTCATAGCCTCGCAAAATCGATTCTCTTTATGCACGTCCAAATTTTAAAGTGAGCTTGTTACCGGTTGGACGAGTTGTATATGCATCAATTGGCTCCATTCCATTGTCCTCCACTACGGAAGTGGTGTAGTTTGTATAGATCGCGGCAACCACGAGTTTGATCTCTATATATTAACCAGTAAGTTTATGTCTTGCGATGGGAAGATAATAAGAATAAAGGTAGCATACCCTGCAAGGCAAAGTGGCTGCCAATGCACATTCGACCTCCGCTGCCAAATGCCCAGAACCAACGCTTCATTTCATCTAGTTCCTGGGGGCCTGGGGGAGCAAGCCACCTATCTGGAAGCCAACTATCCGAGTTAGGGAAAACATCTTCATTTTTATGAAGAGAGTAGGCCTGGGCATTAACCCGTGTATTCTCTGGGATATTATGGTATCCCGCCAAAGAGGCGTCTGCGGGGGTTATTCGAGGCTGGATACCTGGGATTGGCGGATGAAGGCGTAATGTTTCCATGACTATCGCATCTAGCAGAGGAAGGGCATCAATTGACTTGTGAGAAGGAAGTTTTGAATCAGCATTTGAATTTAGTGGTGCCACGTTAGGGGAAAGTGTCCTCAGCTCCGCCCTCAGCTTATCCTGAAGACCTGGATTCTTCGAAAGCTCCCAGAACAAATATGTGAGAGTTAAGGCACTGGTTTCATGACCAGCTGTGAGATGGTCAAAAGCCTCACATGCAACCTCAAGCCGTACCTGCTGGGCTGCATTCTTATCACCTAGCTCTGACCTAGGGTTAACAACATATTGCTTTTCCAGTGCTTGCTTCAGCTGTCTATACACTATTGGTACGGCTACTGGGTTCGTCGAGGAAATGTTTTCTTCCGCTTTGTCGCATGCCTCTAGTCCCCAGGTTTCCATATATTCGTTTGCCTCTGTACACCATTTCGGGATCAAAGGAAAACCAAGCTTTTTAGACCAGGAAAGTAACACCGGTGTTTCCTGAATATAGAATTCAAACTGCTTGCGGCTGTGATATGTGGAGAACCATTTCCTCCGTAGTGAAGGATTCTGTAGGAAATTTGAAGCGGCTGGTAAGCCAAAGATATATCCAGTTATAAAATCCAGAGCTATTGCATTGTTTAGTTCGTGGACCTCGACAAAAGACTCCAAACTTGCATACTCCTCGAGAATTGGGAAAAGTCGATCGAAGAGTATTGCTTCGGTAATTGCCTTGAGCTGAGGCGATGCTTGTAGGTAGGACTTGGAATATATATTTGCTAGCATGCGTTTCCGAGCCGAATGTTGTTTGTTCCCAGTCATCGAGAACATGCTTATAGTTCTGTGAATTGCAGTTTAGTGTGGGTGGAGAAGAAGGCCGTACAAAAGGTACTCACCCGAACGAGCCGAATAGCCGCGGATACCATTCATGCTTTTCATATCCACCTGTATAAACCGTCCGAATGCCACCTTCGTAGCAGTTGATCGATATTTCTGATGGGCCCAGACGGATAATGGGTCCATATTTCATATGAGCGGCATGAATGGTCCTGTTTCCCGTCGTTCGAAACCTCCTCCATAAGATCCAGAGAGGGGAGAACGGGGAGGTGAAGTGGGCATTAGGGATTTTGGCCAGTGGGGAGAGGAAGGCTGGGTATATGATGAATTTGTAGATCCTGGGCGCCAGTACAAGAGCAATGGCTATGACCTGGGATAGCATAGAAGAAGAGATAGCCATGGTATCTGCTCTGAAATATAGTGACACAACACTAGTATATCTCCAAGGTAATGGTCATCCTGTGCCAGGCAGAGACATCATATCGCCATAAATATGAAGGGGGCACGAACTTGCTATTATTACTCGGTGTAATATAGCTATAGACCAAGGAGGGGCATCGTATGTCGTATTATGCGTGGTCTGGAGCCACCTGAAACTTTGAGTATAATAAAACCAGTCCACTTGTCATTGCTGTCATCTTCTTCTTCCTTACGATGGATGTAATTTCTTCCATAGTCCATATTCTGTTCGCACCGAATCATAAGAGCCTTTCGCTGTCTTATCTATCGAAAGTGTCCTTTTCGCCGTTGACAGTTGAGGCTTGCGCCCTGCGTCCCGTCCTATCCACTTCTAGATTCCCTGCTTTGCTAGAGGAACAGCTGCTCGTGTTTTGGTCCCTGGTCGTTAATGTTGGAGGGCTCTTGTATGAACATCTACTTGCTTGGATGCCATACTATGTGGTGCCTCTCGACGTTCCTTCAAAGAAGAAGGATGATTAGCGCGATACGCCCTATCGGATGCTCCAGCTCTCTTCCCTCTCATGTTGGTTGTGCTCCTGTGGAGTATGATTGGATTTTATTATTGTATGCTGCAGGCACAGATATCGGCTGTTGCAGTGATTCCTGTGGCGTGTTTCCGAGCTCCAGGGCTGACATGGCCTCTGAGTTTGTACAGTGCATGCAGTACACTTACTCTTCGCAGGAAATATTCCAATAAGGTCATTGGGATGGCAAGTTGCACACACAGAGAATGCAGTCATTCCATGTCATGGCCGCACAGGGGGCTATCCTATGTTGGTTAATATCGGTACTCCAAGCTAGCGTACTGGAAGAGGTCCGTACAAGTCTGTAAGCTCGTTGACTGAGTTAGAGAAGAGCCGTGTAAGTTGAAAGAGCAGTACCAGGTAATAATTTGATATCTGGACGGAAGAGCGTTGGGATAGATAGACCCAAGGCTGCCTAATATCCAGCACTATCTGCAACGGCCTCGACAGCGCAATGCGATGCTCCCTAGCTGCCATTACCTTCATTGTATATTTGAATACGCCAGCTGGCTTTATATACCGGACGCCATAATGGCCATAATCTCAGGCTGACCACGCTGCTCCGTTCGGTCTCTAGTGTAGTTCCACTGCAGCAAAGGCCGTGGAAGTGCTCTACTTATCTCGAATTGCTTGCAGTGAATAGCATCGATACATGGCTGGTGTTGTATCAAGTAGAAGTTGTGACTAATTATGACTGTTTCGTGTGTGAGAAAAACATTTAAGAATCAACAACAACAACAACAACAACATAACCGACTAGTAACTGAGTGAAAGAAAAGTACAAAAGAAGATTAGAAGAAGTGCCTGATGATACTGTGTCTTCCACCCGAGCTCATCTACTCCGTCGCTGCGTTTCTACCTACCGCTGGCTGCCTGGTTCGCCTCGCCCAGACCTGCCGTCGCCTCTACGAAATCATCGCCGCGGACAACTATCGCATCTTTCAGGCCTTCGTCCAGGGCCAGTATCCCACTGTCACTGTTCCGCCGCTCTGGAGAGATGCAGCCCATGCGCTCACCCTGCGATCTCATGCCTTTCGTCGTCGTGCTGTGACTGCGCGATTTGTCGAGCTGCCGCCTAATACTGTTAGGATAGGGAAGCCCAAGACAACCCGGAGAGATAGGCCTACGCTGGGATATCGGCCAGTGATTGACAGCTACGAGTCATGGTATGGAAACCACTGGTTTGCGAGAAAAGAGGTACTGGCATGGGGTGCGGGAGCTGACGTGGTGCTGCGTATAAAGCACCTGAGCAGATATGAGGTTGGAGAGGCCGAGAGCGTCGGTCAAAAGGACTCCTATGACGGCGCAAAATGGATCTTGTTCAATGATTTACATAACGTCAATAGCTGGGACGACGTAGCTGGCCTCCATCTGCTTGGTGGCAGCTACTCTGCCGGCTTCCCTGATGCTGAGGATCTCATCGTCGGCCATCGAAATGGAAAGCTTGCCTACTTGTCGATTTCACCCAGCCAAGGTTCTGCTACTTATAAGGCGCGTTTTGATACCCAGGGACACAATCTAGACTATACGGATCTCAGTACCGGAACCGAAAGAGTCCTTGCGGCCTCTTTGGACCGTCAACATATATCGTTCTATAGACTCGATTCGGAAGATGATACCGTCCAGCCTTTTGCTAGCTTGAAAACTTCTTCACATGGTTCTTCAAAAAATCGATGTTCAAAACTTCTTTCGAACCAGCAGATTGTAGTTGGAGCGGACGGGGAATCTGCTAAGATTGATATTTTCAGCTTCGATCCTACAGATGTGAAAAAGGAACGTTCTATACGAATCGAAGATGACGAGGAAGGAAGAAAGCCACGAGTTACTGAGATGGTACCACTACCGGCTTTGCACTCAATGGATGACATGAAATCCTCAGATCTCTTTCTGTCAGGTTGGGAGGATAGTAAAATAAGGTAACTACCCCGACCATTCAATTACTGGTGTCCAGCTAATCACTCTGAAGGCTCCATGACCTTCGATCTCCAAGGCCATGTGTTGCCGTTTATGGTGATACGGTGGATGATAGCCCAGTCTATTCTCTTCTTCCAATAGGACATGAGCGATTGATGGTCGGCAGTGGTGCAAACGCTCTTCTCAAGATATTTGATCTACGCGTTAGCGGTAAATACCATGTTGATGCTCGTAATATATCTTCATCGATATCTAAACAGAGCCACCAGCCCAAGGGCTCCAATCCATATTTGCGTCACCTAATGAACCCACCTGTATACCCTTCCAAGGACATATCCATATTCCTCAACTACCGATTGTCCGAAAATCGTTTTGCCATCAGGCTGCCACGAAGCGGCGAGCGCCGATACCGTGGCCCTATATATACCATGTCCCTTCCGTCGCCCACATCATCAACGCTTTATGTTGGCTTAGTAAACACGGTGGTGAGGTTGGATATGGTAGGGACGGAGGATATTCTTGCAAACGGCAACGGTAAAACAGGGGAGAATTGGTCATTAGCAAACCTAAGTTCGGGATTCAATGCCCAAGCCGCCTCCGAGCATCAGCCGTTTGAACTGGCTTGCTACGAACGTCCACTGCCCGAGGATGGAGGAAGGGGTGTACGGTTGTTGGTGCAGAAACCGTTTTGGGGCTCTTCAAGGAGACGGGCAACCGACGTCAAAGGAGAATATGATGATTGTATGCCTGGCTGGGATGACCGATGGTACCAACCCTCGGCAGATAGGAGTAATCGGAGAAAGGGACCATGGCGAGAAGGCTGCAATAGATGACTAGAATACTATGCACGATAGAGGATCTTAGAGGTACTGCAAGTGTGATTTTGGCTAAAAGTTGGCATAATAAAACATCTTTTTATATTCTTAGAATTATCAAGTCTATCGATCTAATTTTCTTTGATCCTGTTGCTCCTTGTTACTATGCCGAATTCAAGTGCCTCCTCCACCTAACTAGCATGTTGGGACTCGGAAATATCAGCCCAAAAAATGGACCCAGAACGCAGTAAACGCCTTGCTACTTTTGACCCCAGGTTACAAATCAGATGGAAAGGAGACCACCGCCGATACTGTTAGCAGCGAGTTGAAGAAATACCTAGATTTGAGGGAATTGATCAATCTTCAAACTTGTAGCTGTTACCTGGCCCAATGTCAATTGGTCCACCGCGGTAAGAGCCGCGCTTCTTTTTGTTCTTCTCTTTGGTAAAGCCTTTGCCGCGGGTGACTGACAGATCACGGTGGGCACGCTCGGCGTAAGCATATGGCACATATGCGTTAGATGGGTGGTTGTGAGGCAGTTCGCTTGCAGCAGCTAGAGGAGTAGGTCTAGCTCCTACATGTTTACGAACCGGCTTAGGCGCAGGCTTCGGTTTAAAATCAGAGTCGCTTTGGCCAGATGTAGCTGCTAAGGTAGCACTAGAATCGGAGGAAGCCTTGCGTTCTTCGGCAACAGTTGATTTTGCCTTGTCATCGTCATCATCGTCATCAGATGAGTCGGAGGAGTCGGAGGAGCTATCACTGCTATCGGATTCGGGGAGCGGAGTCTTGACGGCCTTTTTTAAGATAGATGCTTCTTTCTTTGCAGGGGTTTTGGTCTTTTTCGCTGCATCGTCTAAGCTAGAATCCGAATCCGAGTCGGAGGAGGACTCAGAGTCAGAGTCCGAGTCAGAACTAGAGAGGGAGTCCGAGTCCGCGTCCGAGTCTGAGCCAGAGCCAGAGTCGGAGTCCGAGTCTTCGGAGGAAGAGTCATGTTCAGGTTCTGGGGCCTTCTTTGCAGATGGTTCAAGCTTTGCTTTCTTCGCGGTGGGTGCATCGTCAGAATCGGAATCCGAGTCGGAATCCGAGTCAGAGTCGGAGGACGAAGAGTCGGACTCCAGTTTACGTTTGAGGGATTGTTTCTCTGTTTCCTTCAAGGCGGGTTTAGATGTTTCTTCATTATCGCTGCTCTCGCTGTCCGAGCTATCTTCGCTCTCAGACGAGCTGCTAGCGGCGTCTTGCATTGATACATCCGAGCTAGCATCACTTGAAACCGAGTCCGAATCACTGTCACTGCTGCTCTCAGCATCCTTATCAGCTCCGGGGGCAGCGGAATTCTTGGTTTCCCAAAGCTCATAAATGACATCCAACGAAGGTATCTCCTCCTCGCTCAAATTGGTTTGTTGCATGCTATTCGCAATGTCCGTGTTCCCTTTTTGTTCTGCGACAAAGGCTGCCTTCGTCTTCGTGAACCCATGGTCGCCTAGGAACTGTGATATGCATGCAAGAAGGGCTGGCGAAGCAGAAGTGGCTTTGGCCTGCGTCTTATCAACAATTAACTACTTGAACAAGGACTTCAAATAAGATTGAACACGGTTATACCTTTTCCTTGGTGGTCTGCGCAGAGCTCTTCTGAGCCTTTGCGGTCGTTGTCTTCTTGCCCGCAGCCATCGTACCGACAATCACTGACAATTGCTTCAACAGTCGTGCTGTCTTTTAAAAAAGAGAAAAAGAAACTCGCTTTTCAACGTCGAAATCTCGAAATCCGAAAAAAAAAAAGTGGAAAAACTTCGCGGGAAGAAAGTTTAAAACGCACAACCTCAACGCTAGTCCCAAAGTGGCATCTACATGGATGCTCTGTTTTATCTGTTTTGCGCCAGTAAACACACTAAACAAGGTCAAGGGAGGAAGAAAAAGGGCGATAACAGGTAGGTAAAAGAGTTTAGATGTAGAAGTGAAGTTTATATATGCATCGTTTCTCCTTTTTCCACCCAAGTATGAATGCTTTTCTGTCTGCGCAGGCCAAAGGTACCAAATGGTATGATGTATGGTAATTAATATATTGTTTTATTTTATTGGCTAATATTAGAAGTTCCTGCAATTTCTATTGGTTTATTAAATAAGGTTGACCAATAGACTACCTAGTCAATGCACCTGTAACAATACCGTATGGTGATGTTTTCGCCTGAGCAAACAAGAACAACCCTGACTATCGCAAGGCAAGCAACAGCAACAGCAAACAGCAGAGAGAATTCATAGTCTGGCAGCTGATTTCAGATGGTGTGGCCTTGGTCTACCTGTCTAGACGTGATAACTCCATCCTCTCCGGCGACATGAGCTCCCGTGACCGCTCTCGCGGACATCCGACTGGTGCTTCACCACGGCAGGACCGCCGCGGCGGCGGAGAGATGCGTAACGGTTCGGGCCCAATGAACCCACCATCCGGATCTTCAAGGGCAGAGAAGTTCGAGGATGAAAAGAGGAGGATCATCCAGAGCTGCTTTTCGAAGAAGGACTCTGACGGGTCGAGTAAGAGTCTCCTGTTCCCAGTACCCCAGCTCTACATCAGGACAAACCAGCTGTATGGCTTCATGGACCAACGCAGCACGATAAACCGGTGGCTCTACTGCGGCTGAATCACTCTCAGGGAATCTTTTCTTGAATGAACAAGCAGCTAACTGTCTCTAGCACTTGAGTCGTATATCACGCATATTCGTATAACGGAAGATGCAGCCTATCCATCAGCACCGCCTCCAACTACCTCCCCGCCAGAGAATAAGAAACCGAGAGCGATTATTGTCTCCGTACGAAAGTCAGGCCGGGTTCGAATGCACAAGTCGAGAGAGAACAGTGACGGTTCATTTTCGATAGGGAAGACATGGACGCTAGACGATCTCTCACGTATCCAGATATACGACCACCTGACTCCTTCGAGCCAGATTGAACAACAGCAGAAGTCATGGGCGGCGGACCTAGGATTTATCGTCACCATCACAAAGCCGTATTACTGGACTGCAGCGACATCTAAGGAGCGGGATTTCTTCATTGGCAGCCTTGTGAAGATATACAAGAAATATACCGGCGGAAAGGTCCCGGATCTCGTTGGACTGGAACCGCGCGAGAAAGAAGCCTTGGTCGGGAGTTTGCCATTATCTTCTCAGCCTCCTCCACAGTCGCAATCGCAATCTCAATCTCAACCGCCACCACAGCCGCAAACAAGGGGCCAGGATCCCAGGCTGATGCTCGGTAAAGATCCTCGTTCTCGATCACCGTCAACAGGACCAAACCGTTCCCAATCCCCATATTCAAGTCTACCTCCTAGCCGCGATGGCCCGCCGGAAGCACGGAAACAGCCGTCCAGGGAGCAGTTTCTACAAAGCAAGCCTAGTCAGGACCAAATGCCCCGCGCTCCGCCTCCCACAAGTTTGCTGCCTCGCATACCAGGTGATAATAGTAGTAATCCGCTCTCAAGACCCCCGCCTCAAACACCACCCGTAGAGCAGCTATCAAAGAAATTTACAGAAGCTCCTTCAACTGAAAACCTCGTGCCATCACCGGTAACTTCAGAGCATCCACAAATTCTGCCAAACAGAACATATAAGCCCATGCCTCTATCACCCGTGTCGGATGGAGGTTTACTACCAAATAAAACATATACCCCAATGCCGGCTCCGGCTCTATCACCCAAGTCAGAGGACAGGCCGCAAGCATACGGTCAGAGCAAACAGCAGCCCAGCCCCGATAGTGGTGATATATCTCCCTTTAGCAAGCCGGTACGAACACGGCCGTCAACCAGTGAATCCTCGTTGCCGGCTTCGTTGCGGCCAGCGTTTGACAGATCCCCTAGCTACGACCAGAAGAGCGTAAGGAGCGTAAGGAGTAATGATGGTGATAATGGTGATGATGATAGACATAAAGGGCCTCCACCTTCTCGCGAGCCCCCTAAGGTCGAATTTCCTCCTGTGGCTAGGGATATATCACAACCTGATCCGCCAAAAGTAAGGCCACCCTCAATCAACGGTGAGATTGATTCGGCATTGGAAAAAGAAGTGACAGAGCAAGTTGCTCCCGAGCCGCCTAGCGAACCACTCTTGAAGACCGAGTCTTCTCCCGAGCAATCAAAGCTGCCAGTTCTAAGCACTCCGCCTGCAGTGGCAAGCAGCATCTCCCTTCCTGAACCCGAACCCCAACCCGGGCCTGAACCCACACCCGAAGCTGAAACCCATCGGCCTGAAACCCATCGGCCCGGACTAGGCCCTATGATGAAAAGCAAAGGTGGTGCAAAGGATGTGGCCAATGTGCTTCGTAAGGCAGCAAATGCATACAACGCCTTCAAGCCTAGGGCTGGCGGTGCAGGTGAGCGCCTCCTGGCAGCCAAGGAGAAGGAAAAGCCCGAGGGCCCGGATGGAATTACAAGCGTCGTCCCTGCGCCGTTACTGAGAGGCATCAGTGCAGAGAATGCGGCCAAGCCATCTTCTACGGAGCCACCAAAGGTACAGGTGACAGACTCCAGCACCGGGAAAGAAGTCTCGTTTGATAAACCCTCCGAGCCCTTGGCCCCGAAGAAAAAGAAGATGAAACAACCTGATGAACAACCGCGGGAAGACAATGCTAAAAAGTCCTGCAGTGCACTCGGTATCGACTCGGCCGTGCTCGGTGGCCGGGGCGTGGAGTTTGACTGGCTCCTGACCGACCTTGGCTGGGACGGCAGACTGGCGAAGGACAAGGGCATCGAGGCACTGGAGGCGGACATCCGACGGGAGATAGGCCGTGTACAGGCCAGCAGCTGGCTAAGCCAGATTCAGTCCTCTCATGACGGAAGAGTCGACCAGCTGGCCAAGCTCTTTGACCGAGCAATGGAGGAGTGCGATGAGCTGGATGGCCTGCTCACCTTGTACTCTCATGAACTCGACGTAAGCCTATTCTTTCTTTTTTTCATTGCTCTTATTTACTCTGCTAACGTATTCTCTAGACCCTCTCCGAGGATGTCCACTACATAGAATCTCAGGGCCAGGGACTACAGACCCGCCTCGCGAACCAGCGGCTTCTCCAGTCAGAGCTCCAGGCCAGGATCAAGTCAAAAAGTGGCTCCCGATGAACTCCTTTGACTCCCAGTCGTCTCTTCATGGTCATAGACCTGACTGGGCGAGCGTGTCAACCTGCCGTGCCATCGTGACTTCTTCCGCCATGAGACGAGAGAGAAGAGCTCGGTAACGCTGTACAAATTCCTTTTGCTCTATCTCCTTTCGCATATTTTCAACGGTTGGATAAAATGGTTCTCTCTAATGAAGTATCTATCCGGAGCATCTACGGGGAGATGCGCAAATGATACCCTTTTTATATCTTTTCTCTTCCCTACCATCTCTCTGTGTACAATATCTATAAACTAATAATATATATCATCTTGTCTCGACAGCGAGCGAACTGCTTCATCCATTCTTCATATTCGACGCGCTCCTACACCACCTATTCTCAAGACTGTCACTCTCCTTACGAGAAACTAGACTTATATTTCTCGACACAAGCAAAATGTCAAGTCTAAATCAGCCGTGAAGTCTACGCGTGTTTATATATTATCACGATTATCCGTTGAAGCTGGTCGAGTGTATATAGTAAACTCCAAGAGCTGGCCATCATATCGGTGGCTTCAAGTCTCTCAAGCAGTTCCCCATTCGATAGCACAGAACCCGAGGAGAAGCCTGGTAAATAAAGGCTAACCACGATATAGAGAAGAGATCCCACGTTAACCAGGGTGGAAGCCCCTGGATGGGATCGTACACGTACCGACCGCTCTCGATCACTTGCTCACAGGGACTGGAGGCAGACCGAGGATATCGAACCTGGCCGAGGAGATCTATAAAACCGGCCATGGCCAGGGGATCGCTTCACACCAAAGACAGGCCCCTTGCCTACCGATGTATCCATCATTACGACCTCGTCTTCGTTTCGCCCTGACATGGCATGGGATGGATCGCGGCGGAGTCTTCAAGAACCCTCCTGTGAAGATAATGCTTGACCAAACAACCCAAAGAACCCGGTCGTTGGCTCTTCTTCTTCCTCTTCTTCTTCTTCCTCTTCTCCCTCTCCTTTATATCTAACCGACGGTCGAACCCTTACGCTGCGTGTGTGAACTCCGTATTTAACTATAAAAAGAAAAAACTACAAACTTCGAACCAAAACATCGACGAGAAAAAAAAGACACACAGCAACAAGTTACATACCTCAACCCGCGCAGAGACAGACAAATTGGACCGAGTCAAGGGAGCTCAAGAGCTGCGGACGACTCAGATGTCTCACTGCAGATAGGTTTTCTCGCCCTTCGAGGAGGAACAAGGTGAGTCTCTCGTTGTATATACAGAGGGAGGCGCAAAGACAGCAGAAGCAAGGAGACGGAAGACTCTCTGCGTAGCCCGTCGTATATTAATATTACTACCTCTACTATTATCATACAGCGCAGGCTTCTTCTAATTGTTTATTTCCCCCCCAGTTATTATATTTGTTTAGCTGACTGGTTCTCGACTCTAGTTGAAGGCTACCCTCGCGATACATCACAACCCCCTGCTTGGTGGACGAACCCTCCTGGGCGCCGCTCAACTTTTTTCTCCCTCTCCTGCTGCGTTCTCTTCCTACAGAGATTTTATATATCTTTCGTTTGACCGGGCCATAGGTTTCCTAGGACAGGCCCATCGTCCTCCCTCCCTCTCTCTCCCTCCCTCTCTCTCTCTCTCGGTTGAGTGAACGGCCGTACAGCGTTCCTCTCTTTTTCCCTCTCCCCCCCAAGGATGCCCTGGAAACCCCTGCCTCGCATTGCGTTCGCCGTTGCGGTCTATCCATTCCAGCCATCGTCGCCAGCGGACCTACCTCTCGAGCTCGGAGATGAATTGTACATAATTGAACAGGGCGGTGCCAGCGGGGCATGGTATCGAGGGTACCTTGTCGCGCCGCCTTCGCTCTTGGCCGGCCTGACGAGTGTTCGAGGGCAGACGCTGGAAGCCCGTGTCTTCTCCGGCATCTTTCCAAAGAACTGCGTCGAGGTGCGGGAGGTGCTGGGGGATGCAGACGAGGGCAACGATAAACTGCGGGATAGCACTGGAACTTTGCTCCCCAATGGCGACTCGAGGTCAATTGCTACTTCGTCTCCAGAGTATGGGCAGCCAGGTGATATCAAGCCGACCTCTCGTGGCCTGGCACCGGAAGTGAAGACCGCTCGCAAACTATCACAGCTTACCATCCTCAAGATGGAGGAAGATGCCACAAAACGACGGTCTGGCATGTCAATGCAGACCGGGGCCGCCGTCCCTCTCCCTCCGCCTCCCCGCGACCCCAACGGCGCAAAACCATCGGCTCCGGTCCCCATGCTCAAGATAGGAGATGAGACGCCCACTTCGGTCTCGGAACCGTTGGTCGATGAGATCGCTTCGTGTCTGCGCGAGTGGCACTCGACCAACATTCATGGACTGCTCCTAGGGAGACAGTACGCTACCTTGGAGAGCATGTCGAACATCGTCCTAGAACTCGACCTCGCCCGACGACAGCTTCTACATAACGTCTTGACAGCCCAGGAAAGAAAGACGCTACGCGAGGAAACGGTATGGAACCTGGTTCGAGGGAACAAGATGCTCAGCGGAGAAGTAATAGTTCGCGATCCCGCTGAGCGTGGTCGGCTTCTTACCGGTGACGATTCGGCCATAAAGTTGACAAAACTCCAGTCTGAAATGAGCATGCTCGACGGCAAAATTACACATCCATCTGATACCGTTTCGCTACATCATCTACTCTTCGAACTGAATGCTGTCACCGGCGCCATCACCAACCCAATCGTCCTTGCGGTTAGCCTTTGCTTGCAATCGCCCACTGGCGACGTCAAGCCGCTATCCGAGACTTATTCATTGGACGTTCCGTCCGCTGAGAGCTTCTCCTCCCTTGCTGTCGGTGGGAAGCTAAAGACGTTATTCACCGAACTAAGTGCAGCGGATATAGGGGAAATATCAGGATCGGATTCCAAACTCTTCCTTGTCGTCAAGGTTTTAAGCTGGGAAGCGCCTAGAACTGTTCCAACCCTCGTAAAGTCCCAATCATTCTCCGGGGCTGGGCCCAATAAAGGCGGACCCCAGTTTAACTCTACAGGAAAAGGCAGCTTACGGGGCCGAAGAAGCATGATGTGGGGTCAAAAGGGCCATAAAGGTGGCCATCCTACAGAACCGGCAGCAAAAGAGTTGAATAATGCTCCGCCTCGATCGAGTGAGGGAGTGGAAAAGGAGAAACATACCACGCCTCCTAAGAAAAAGGACCCTGTCTGCCGTATGATCGGCGTAGGAGCGATTGAAGTTGGCCCCCTGGTGAAGGCCGGCAAGTCCACCGAACAGGTGTTCACCATTTGGTCGCCCCTGGGTGAAAACGACGAAGAAGATGGAACGACAGATGGCTTCCATGAGATCATTCGCAGCTTAATTTACAGTCCAACCGGACGGTATGTCAGGTCATACCAAGCTGCACGACTACACACCCACCTCTATCCATTCACCGGCACCGATGCAGATGCCCTCGTCAAGAAAAACCCTACACTCCTGCACAGCGTTACTCAGACCAGAAGGATAGGCTTCCCTGGGGCGCCAACGAAGCCAAGGTCAGATATATACGTTACCCTCTCACGAGCGAACATTTCACGGGATGCACTCCTCTCGCACCCAATTCACGGCCAGGTGCCCGTTCCACAATCAACAGGCCTCCGAAACATACAACTAACACTCGAAGTCCGCGACTCGTCTGGCGCAAGGGTAGAAAAGTGTATCTGCCCGTCATCTAACGCTACTCCTGTCATTGCTTGGAGAACAACCGTCACAGAGAGACTTTCTGGCTGGAATCAGACTATCCGTTTGAGCATCCCTGCCGACAAGGTACCTGGATCTCACTTGATCATGAGCATAGCCGACGCACCAGAGTTCCCGTTTGCATTAAGCTGGATGCCGCTCTGGGACCAACAGGCGTTCATTCGCGATGGGCCTCACTCTCTCTTGCTCCATGCGTATGATAAATCCACATCAAGCCTGGAAAACGGGAAAGGTGCCTATCTTTCCCTGCCCTGGAGCGCGCTGGGGAAGAATGAATCAACCAAGGACGAAGCCGTAACCGGTCCAGTCGCTACTTTGGTCGTGGAAACTGATCTATGCAGCACCGAGTATTCCCAGGATCAAGTCATGCTTGGTCTTGTCAACTGGAAGGAAAAGCCTGCATCTGAGCTGTTAGAGCTGCTGCGAAGACTCGTTTTCGTTCCAGAGATCGAGATAGTCAAACAATTGAGCACTGTCTTTGATGCATTGTTCGGTATCATAGTCGAGCACTCTGGGAATGACGAGTTCGAGGACTTGGTGTTCGCCGATATAGTCACAGTGCTCGGTATCCTACATGACCGTCGATTTAACCTTGGGCCCTTGGTTGATCAATATGCTAAGGAGCAATTCAACTTCCCCTTTGCTACCCCTTGTCTTATAAGGAGTTACTGTCGTCTCCTCCAAGCGACACCTGACTCGCAACAATCCCGCAACCTCCGTGCTGCATTCAAGGTTGGAAGACACATCCTAAAGTTCATAATAAATGCAAGGGAACAACAAAAGGCAAAGGAAGAAGGCATCGGCATCACAAATATTCAATCAACGTTCAACCGTGACCTGACCTTCATCTTCAAATCTGTCGAAGCCCTGATGCAAAATCCTGCCCCAATTCTTGTTGGAAGCAAAACTCTTGTCGTCCAGCACTTCCATACTTGGTTACCAGAGCTCTCCAGTGCGCTTACCAAGGAGGAAATCATCGAAATTGCCTTGAGCTTTATGGACTCGTGCAAGGATGTTAAAGGCATGCTTATTCTCTATAAGCTTGTTCTCATCCAGAACTACTCCCAACTCACATTATTTGCTGAGCAAAAGGAGAGAAAGATGCTCTATGCTCGATGTATCAAATGGCTTGATCCTTACTGGGGCGCAGTATCTCAAGTCACAGACCAGTACAGAGACCAGGTTCGGCTGTGTTCGTCTATCATTGCAGAACAGCTTAAACATCCAGAACCAGAACTTTTCCAATATATGCCGAAGGTTGTGGCGTCATATTGCGCAATTGAAGCAGATGGCGTCGAAGAGTCAAACTGGCTATCTTTACTGTTCAGCAAGTCATTCCCGTTCCAGCTGAAGCAGTCAAAGACGAGCCAGAAATTTGACGAGGCTCTTGTCGAGCTTTCTGCTCTCACTGCCGCGTTATCGGCTATACCAAATCCCGTTGAGTTGGTTATGGAGCCTGATGAGATGGCAATCTTCCTCTCCCGCGCATTTAGCACTCATATCTCAATTCTCGACTGTGTTCCATACCCTTCAACTTGGCTAAGTTTGCGCATCTACCACCACCGTTCTGTGGTGAAGAGCCTGGAACATTGGTCTGCAATGCTCATCAAATCGTTCCTTCCACCTGTTGAAGAGGCTGACACCTTCGACATGGAATTGTGGCGATTATTCTTCGCTACAATCTTGAAGTTGGTGTCAAGCGATGCTCTTGCACTGGAGACATTCCCCGAACAAAAACGACGTGCTGTGTGGAAAATCGCTGGCGATGTCCGTGAACACGGCGCAGAGCTTTTGCGCGCGACGTGGAAAGCCATTGGTTGGGAGACTACTCCCGAAGAACGTGAACGGTTTGGCCTGGACAGACTGGGAGGATACCAGGTTCAATATGTTCCTAGCCTTGTGCCTCCGATCATTGAGCTTTGTCTGAGCGTTCATGAGGGGCCTCGGCGTGTTGCTGTTGAAATCCTGCAGACAATGCTTGTTAGCGAATGGCAGTTGAATGAGGATCTGGCTATGATCGAAGCTGAGATAATATCAAGTCTAGACGAGACGTTCAAAACGAGGAACTTCACTGAAAGCATTACGCAAAAGCTGTTCATGACAGAGCTAATGGAACTCTTTGATACGAGCTCTCCTACCCTTGATCCTGAACTCATGGTTGCGCTGAAGGAGCTGGTTGCTACTGTTGACGAGCTACTAGACCTTCTCGCCGCAGCCCACTCCGGTAACATCTCAGAGAGTTTGAATACCTTGAAACTGATGGAATTCATGAAAGACATGGACAAGGAGGATATTTTCATTCGCTACGTCCATGAGCTTGCGCGAGGGCAGGTTGCTGCTCAAAATTTCACAGAGGCTGGTCTCGCACTTCAATTCCATGCCGATCTCTACAATTGGGATTTCTCGCAACTCCTTCCCGCCCTTTCGACGCCAGAGTTCCCAGAGCAAACAGCCTTCGAGCGTAAGGAAGTTTTGTACTTCCAAATCATTCAACATTTTGAGGACGGAAAGGCTTGGGCGCATGCCCTTGCTTGCTATAGGGAGCTTGCAGATCAATATGAGCACACTACACTGGACTTTGCCAAACTCTCAAGAACACAAACGTCCATGGCGAGGATTTACGACTCAATCGTTAGAGACGATATCCAAGTTGCGAGATATTTCCGTGTTACTTTCAAGGGCCTTGGGTTCCCAACTACTGTGAGGGATAAGCAATATATCTTTGAGGGATATCCAACAGACCGACTGGCCAGCTTTACCGATAGACTGCAAAAGGAATACCCTGCCGCCCAATTGATTACATCCGGAGAGATTGAAGATTTAGAGGGCCAGTTTCTTCGAGTATCTGCGGTTAGCATTCACCGAGACATGAACCATCCAGTTTACCAACGAACTAAGATTCCTCAATCCGTTCGAGACCACCTGTTGACATCTGTACCCGCACAGTTCTCTGTTACGTCTAAGAAACATCTGAGCGGCAATGATGTTAAGAAACAATGGGTCGAAAAATCCATATACACTGTAGCCGAACCATTCCCAAATATTCTTAGACGCAGTGAGATAGTTGCGGTAGATGAGGTTGCATTGACCCCTTTGCAAACTGCAATCGAAAGGACATGGCGTAAAACCCAGGAACTCATGATCTTAGAAAGGAGAGCATCATTAAACCCGGATGCGAATCTCTCGGCGGTGAGCGAACTCATTCGACAACTCGTTGATGTTGAGGCCCAGCCGTCTACTTGTGCTGCGCTCTATCGCGATTTCCTCCAAGAGAACTATGATCCAGATGCACCAGCAGGGAACGGTGAGGTCGATGGACCAGTACACCCTAATCACCCGCTTAGGAGTGCCCTTGCCGCCGCCCTGATAGAGCATGCATTAGCGATCAAACGCTGCCTTATGCTATTCAACCTTCGGCCATCATACCAGTCCGACCAGATGGAACTTGTTCGCCAATTCGAATCCATCTTCTCGCATGAGCTTGCAACCTTCATACCCATTGCTGGACAGTTTCAAGATGATAACCTTTCCACGTTCAATCGATTTGACCCCTTTACAAACGGCCAGGCCTCACGATTGCAAACGTCAAACGAGTTCCAGGGCGATAGCACACAGCAGCAGCCCATCAATTCGCACTCTAGGTCCCTCTCCAATGCAAAATCTGAGACTCAAAGCCGTCGACTAAGCCTTAATCCATTCAAACGGTCACATCATGGGGCATCCAACTCAGTCGCAACTATTACGCAGGAAACAATTAGATCCAACAGTAGCCTGAGAAATCAATCTATCAGTGAGGAGGCAAAACCTAATGGTTCCATGGTAAAAGAGTTAGCCAGAGCAGCCACCTCCTCAAGCAACAGGACAGAGACCAATGATAGGAAAGGCAGTCTTTCGGCCCAAGGCAAAACAGACGGTTCACAGAAGCGGAGAAGCTGGTTTGGAAACGGAAGTACCACCAGTAGTGTTAATGGTGACGCCAGACCAAATGGCACGCCTGCTGCCTCGACTGAAGATATTAAAACAACGCAGCAGCGAATCATCGACAGAGCCAAGGCAGCTCGCAAACAGAATGGATCTCCCCGATCGCCTCCCTCCTATTCGACCATTCCCCCGACACGACCATCGACCAACGGCAGCAATCGGACGGGTTTATCTGAACGCTCCGGGCAGAAGGCTCCAATTAGTCCGCTGACAGACTCTTCAGGAGGGCACAATAACATGAGTGCTTCCACAATGCGCGACTCCGTCATGAAGCGGTTCAGTCTTTTAAAGTCAGGTCGAAAGTCCAGCCGTACGAATTTCAGAGAAGGCGGTGCAATGGGCGGAGCGGTGAAGGAAGAATAAGTTCAATCTTATGGAAAGTAGCATGTCTTGAACGTATACCTCTCGTTCTTGATATGCCCCGGGGCCTTTACCTCCACGTCAAATATACAAGCCGTGCTTAAACGCCAGGTTCAAGCCTCCTTGTGCCTGTCATCCACCCATCCATCCCATACTGCTCCCAAATGCTTCGTCAACCCCCCCCTTTTTCCCTTCTCCCCCTTTTTTAATTTCTTACTAGCGTTTGTCACCTTTAACTCTTACATTCATGTAAGATATGACCCATTATTCGGATGAGACTTTTTTTCTTCTACTTGTTGGATAATTCTTCAATATCCCCTTTTTTGATACCAAATTTTCAGCCGTCTTCTAAATATTCCCTTTGTTTTCTACTCACAGTTATACTTGGCATAGCTTCATTTTGCTGGTGTACCTAGCGTACTCGATACCAATATTCCCTGCTTACCCGTTTACCCCGTACTTTGCTTTAACTTTGCTTTACTACCTTTTAATCGTTAATTTCATGTCATGTTCTATCAAATTGGCCTTTATGTAGATCCTAGGTTGTAGAATGCGCCTTGTTCCACACAGGCGATCGATCTTAGCTTGAGCTCAGACAACGGGCGGGATTATGGCTCTAGATCTTCACCCGAATAATTACTTGCAAGAGACGAATTATTATGTACTGGTTAAAGAGAGCGATACGCAAGTTCTGTAAATATAATGAAAACAACATACTCAAGGCGGTTCTTGAAAATATTGTGTATATACATAAAAAAAACCTACTATAATATCCAATATTAAGTAGATTGATAGCAGGCTAAGTATAAACATCATTATTTCGCATTACTCATCATTTTTTTTCCCTTTTTCTGGTATTGGATTGATGCTTTCATACGATTGCGGTCTGGTTCAGGAAGAGATCACAGTGGTGTGGGTGCTGGAGGCAATATCTGGGCTGTAGTGGAGATGCACCAATTCCGTTGGCAACAAGGTATTCTCTAAAATTCAGGATACGGTTGGACATCTGTGTCGTTCGCTTCTGACCCTTATCGTCCTTGTTGCCAGACCAGAACAGCTCAGCGAGAGCAGCGGCACGGGGCCAGAACTTGGAGGAGATGATGACGTCGTCCACTTGCTCTGAGAAGAGAGGAGAGATACCACCGAGGACATGTTTCTTTTCCGCATCGTTGAGGCCATCGGTAAAGTCATAGTCGTAGATACGCTGCCAGGTCTTGTATGGGGCGCACCAGGAACCGCCGTCACCAAGGTAGTTGAAGTTTGGAGTCTTTGGGTCTGGGTTCTCCATGACATTGTATCTGGGGTCGTTGGTGACCCAGCCACCGTTACCGCAGTCGAGGTAGAGGAAATCAGCCGAGGAAACAATGACATCGAAGCCGTTGGAGGTGAGGGTCTTGATGTTTTCGATGCCCTTGTTCCATGACTGCATGATGGTATCCTTGGATATATTCTTCGCGTGCATGTTTTCAGAAGTGAACATGTCTTCCCAAGTGATGAAACGGCGGTTATTGCGCTTCTTTAGTGCTGGGAAGAGCCTGTCAACATACGACTCTAGCAAGTCGTTCCAGGTACGGGAGGGGTCCTCGGCAAACCATTTGGTGACGTGAGAGCTGAAGTTGTAGCAGTTGGGCTGCAACTCGTCACCACCGAGGTGAAACATCTCGTCTTCGAAGAGATCGCTCAGCTCGCCGTAGATGTTTGTGAGGACCTCGTAGGTCTTGTCGTAGGCGGGATCGAGCTGGCCTGGGTTTGGTTCGACGGCGGTATGCTTGGGCCAGTCATCGTTGGACCACCAGGAATTGCCGCAAGATACCAATGCTGGGTCAATCTGTCTCCAGCCCGACGAAGAATGGCCGGGAGTGTCGATCTCTGGGATAACACGGATTCCACGAGCTCGAGCATACTCGATGATATCCTTGACATCTCCGTGGCTGTAGACCATGCGGGGGGAATAAGCATCTTTGATCATCTGGGGATACTTCTTGATCTCGATCGGCCAAGATTGGGTATCGCTGATGTGCCAGTGAAGGGTATTTAGTTTTGACAGGGCCATGGCATCGAGCTGTTCCTTGATCTTGCCTAAGGTGATGAAGTTACGAGCAGTATCAACCATGATACCTCGAATGGGGTAAAGAGGCTGGTCTTTGATCACAACGGGCTCTTCGACCATCAGTCTTCCGTTGCTCTCGTCAACGATGACCAGCTGCTGCAGGGTTGTGAACGCGTGAAGGGCTCCCCAGACTGTTTTGGCAGTGATGTCGATGCTGCCGGACCCATCCTTGATCTCTAATGTGTAAGACTCGTCCACGCCATGGGACAGCTTTGCCTTGGTATTGTCTACCTTGACATTAACCTGGGCGATCGAGTTTCTCGAAGTGCTCTCCTCTCGCTTCGCTTTCGGGGTTGGGAACTCGTCGAAGGTCGGGAATGGGACGTTGCGCACTGCAGGAGTCCACCGAAGCCTGACTATGGCGTTGAAGGCACGGTTCCAAGCCTCTTGGAGGCACTGGTTGTGCGGTCCATGGTAGCGGACAAAGGGAGAGAGATACTGATGGCCAGAATTCCCCCAGGCGATCGACCTCGGAGCTGGCAGCGGGTTGACGTCGACGGCTCCAGCAACCCCAGACAGCACCAAGACCGCGGCAGCCACAGCTTGGGCAAAACGCATCGTTCTGACGTGGTTACTGAACTCTTGTCTTCTTCTTCTTCTCTAGTTCAAATGATCAGGTCAGTATTAGGAGAGGAAGAGGAGCGAAGCAGGAAGAAGGGACAGCTTTATACCCTTTTTTTCCCTTTGCTAATTATCTCCTCAGTCAAAAAAAGGATCTGACAGTAAACGACAAAGACAGAGTGACACTTGAATCCCAGAATATTAACTATCCATGGGGGCCAGTCCAACAGGTAAAGGAAAGGCGAAGTGACGTCGCGCGCGGTGAAGCTGGGATATGTAAATCCACCCCCAGGGCATTGCTTTTTTCTGTGTGCAACCCTCTCCAGCCATAAACAATAACATATAACCTATTATACTGTGTATAGGCTCATCGACTGTGGAGTTCTCGTGGAATACGAAGATGTAACCTGCGAACATCGTCGACTTCCCCTTCTTTTGCTTCCCCGAAACGCATGTCGAACCCCGGCCTGAGCAGCAAGCCAGCAGCAAGCAGAGCATCATCCAGTGCTATCAGATGATATATTCACAGACCGAGATACCACCCTTCGCCAGCTTCACGGGAAGCAGGAAAACACAGTGACATCCCATCTGCATCAACCGGAGATGTAACCCCAGACTCAGCGGTCAGGCCAATTAGCGGAGCTCTCGCTAGGTTCTTCGCCCACTCGATATACACATATATATGATGGATGCTTAGCCGGAAGCTCAAGGGTCGTCCTGGTTCCTTGGAGCTCCCTGTCGGCCATCGGACAGCATCCCATGCTCGTTTGTCCAGGTTGTTCGCGTGTGACTGTCTGCTTCTTTCTCGACCAAAAACCGTTGACGTTTGTATAAACATGTTTTGACCTAACCTTGATATGGGAAATAGTTCGTCTTGTTACTAATCTTCCAGGGCCTTGATCTATATAGCTTATACGAGGGGTTACATACATCGCTCTGGTCAAGAAAAGAAACAAGAGCATGTTTTGCATTCTGAGATACTACCTGGTGCTATCAAGAAGAGAAGACAGCGAACAGACCACAATTTGATTTTTAACCAGCCAGTCAGCAATTCAAACCATTACGACGCAATGAATCAGGCGGATGGCTCGGCCCAGTACTTCTTCAGGAAGTCCTCGACAGTCATCGGCTTCACGGCAGGACAGAGTCGGTTGAGCGTTGGCTCGACAGGGATCCCGCCATCGCAGCAGAGTGTCTTCAACTGGCACTCGAGATTCTCGATCAGTCCGGCGACTCCATCTGGGGCGTTGGCAATCCTGTCCTGAAGCTGCTTTTTAGTGAACGGGCGTACTTCCATCTTACGTCCTGTATACTTTTCTATCAGAGACACCATCTCGTCGAACCGAAGAGTAGAGCCCACCATCCCAAGCTCGCGCTTACCCCAGGGTTCCTCCAGATCGATTGCTGCGGCGATAAACCGACCAATGTCCCGAATATTGGTCATCGTTATGACAGCTGGCGGTGGTTCTTTGTCTCCGTCACGCTCCACCACCGGCATGTCGACCCAGCAGTCAACCAGGTTGAACAGGAAAGGGTTCTCGGCAAAGCCAGCCAGTGCATCAGCCCGGTTGCCGTCTTTTTCTGGACTGCCGATACCAAGGTAGTTCATGAACATCCCGTTTGAGAAGATGGCGGCATCGATTCTCGACTTGAGGACAGCTTCCCACACAGGCAGCTTGGCCTTTTTCTCAAACTCGACTTTAGAGTGCGTCTCGTATGCACCCGAAAACTCAGACGGTGCAAATCGTCGACAGCCCGCGGCTTCGGCAGCATGCAGCAGCCTGATCTGGGTCCTGACGAAAGTGTCCGTATCATGGATCAAAAGCACGCTGATGACCGTGTCGATATCTCGCAAGGATGCCACCAGTGAATCCTCCGATTCATAGTCGACATATCGGGTTTCGACCTCCGCCGTGGACGATGACCCGGGGACCGGCCAAGTAGCAGTGCTCAATGCCGGGGTGCCGTCTACCTTCTTCCTAGAGAGAATAACAGGCGTATGGCGACCGTTCGTTGCCAGAAGGGCTGAGACAACCGAATGCCCCAGTGTCGGGCTGGAGCCTCCCGCCACAGCTACCTTGACCATGGTGGATGACTTTCTTCCTAGCTATCTTAAGACCCGTTCACGAGTATCTGAGGGAGCGAGAGAAGAGGAGAACCATGCCGGCCACACAGTATTATATATGTCCTCTGAAGAAAGTCGGCGCGTTGCGCTTCTTGCTCTGCTTCAACATCATAATATAAACACTACGTGATCTCATATATCCCTTTTAGGGTTAGCGTATCTACTTCAGCCAATAAGAGTGTCTCGTTTCATATAGAAGCAATATAATCACGTGTTTTCGTGGCTCTTCGTATTCAGCGAAGACAGAAGCCTGTTTGGACGCCGTCTGGGATGATCCGTGGAGGTTCTGGATTGTATCTGAAACATAACATCCTTCGCATCCTCCTGTTGCAGTCGATTTATTTTTGGAGACACAAGTGTGTTGTGATGATCACGTGATAAGCCCTAGATTAATATTTAAAAAAAAAAAAAAGAGAATACGGGATGAAACGGAAAACGCAAAGAGCCAGATATCCAAAGGCCAAGTGGTCGAAATGCTCACAACTCCATTGATTGACGATAATATACAAGCTATCAACAGGATGTACAAGACTTTTCCTCTGCCGTTTTTTGTACCTTTTCCGGTTTTTTTTTTTGGTTCGAATTGAATTGAATTGAAACAGAATCAAATGAAATCCAGACTGGCCATTGCACCATCAAAGGAATAAATGATATCCTGTATATCCCTTTTTACTCAATATCCGTTTCCAAGGTTGACTCTCTTTGCACCACGGCTATGGTCAGCTTCGTCTTCTTCCCGCTGTCTCTTGCTCTTTGCCAGGTAGGCGGCCCAAGCCTCGGCTTCGAGGGCCTTTCGTGCTTTGGTAGCGGCGTCTTCTTTCAAAGCAACCTTTTGAGCGTTCTCCCTTCTAGTCTTTTCCCTGGCAAGCCTTTTCTTCTCATTCCTCTCGTTCTCCAGCCTCACTTTCTCGAGTCGCTCCCTTTCCTTTTGCTCCTGGCATTGTCTCTGCACTTCCAAGTATGCTGCCCTGAGCCTGACAATGTATGGCATTGCCAGGCCCTTTACCCGGATTAGCTCATAGATGCTTCTCATCAGGTTTCTTCTGTATTCTTCAAACTGTTCCTTGAGCTTAGCGCATTCTGTGAAGATCTTTCTAAGGGCCGCTTCGTTCTCCGCTGCGACGCTCTTGCTGTACAAGGTCGGGTTTCTGTGTATATGAAGCTTTTTATCGAAAAGAATCTTTCCAGTCGCAAAGGAATCGGTCGTGTTTCTCTTTTCTTCCATGAAGACTTGGTATGCTGCAAGGTAGCGTACGCGGGTGAGGGCTAATATCTGGAATGCCTTGACGTATGTGTCCGGCATGCGTCTAGGGACGTTGATTATCATCTTGTTCAGCATATCATAGTTGATCGAGGGCCCTGGCTCTGCTGTCTGGCTGTCAAGCTCAACGGAACTGGTAATTCTGCAAGTACTGGCTTGGTGGTCGTTCCAAATTACCTCTGACAGCGGAACTTTGGCTGGAATCTGATCTCCAAAGGCATCCTCAAGAGGGATAAACTCGGAGGTAAAGGAGATCTGCGATATCTCTAGCTTGGGCTCCAGCCCTGGCATCACGATTTCATCTTTCTTCTTCTCCTCCTTCTTCGGGGTGTTGGCGAAGAGAATGTCCATGGCGGTGTACCGCTCTGGAGTCAACTGGGATGACATCCTCCTTGACTGATAGAGCCTTTCTCTTTCTGAGAAAACAAGCTGCTTTAGGGGGTGTGAAGAACAAGTGGTAAAGAGAGAGATGAAGGAAGGAGGAATCAACTCTTTGGAGTCTCAGGGGGATGATCAAGACGAAGAAGATGGTGAAGAAGAAGAGGACGAAGAAGAAGAGCACTGGAAGTTAATGCTGCGAAGCTTCTGGGTGACTCGTTGAGCCGTGAACCAGAGAATGGCAAACGTTCTGGTGACTCTGAAGGGAAAACGTCCTCCTTTCTACCAGCCCCCCCTTTTAAAATATATATCCTACCCGCCTCCCTCCTCCCCCTCTTTTGTGAGCAGAAATTTTCATGTTGAAGCTGTGTTATACACAGATGAATGACCTTCAACTGCCAGCCACCCTTTTTGGTGTGAGTAGGTGAGGTTGTTGCGGAAGACAGCGTGGCGGCTTTCGCTTAAGGTAAATACACACACAGAGCTCTCGTTACTGATATTATATCGAAGACGAGCACAAGTCTTGTATATGTCGAAAGACACATACGAGAACAAGTCTGAGATACATGTATGTGTTTAAAGAGCAAGCTCTTCAACTAGAGAGTGCTCGAAGGTGTTTTTCATCTTGGTTGGACACACAGAAGGCGCATTTGAATATAAACAGCAAAGAGGTACCGTGAATAGTACATATTTACTATCTACCCTCAAGCTCATGGCGCTCATGGCACCTCTGGCACTGACATACCTCTTAGGCTTACCCGTTAAAGGCCTGTGTCTTTCTGAGTATGCACACTCTGATAGTATTGCTGAATCTGGTGGCGTTAAATATCAAAGTGTATTCCCTGACTCGCACATTTGACGAGTCAATACGGAGGAACACTGGGACATAAGGGATGCAGCTGCTATCCTCAGGGGTGCTTGACAGGAAAGTAACTATACCCTGATAAATATCTTGAGATTCCGTAGTTAATGAAGACGACCATTGACTGAATAGGACAGCAGCTTTGTCCGAAGTAAGGGTTACTTTGTTAACAGCTCTATTCACTGTGAATACGTCCTGGGCTTACCGTCTCAAAACATCTTTTATTACTGTGATGAACGTATAAACAATAGCCAGCGAAGTATCAATCCAACCTATTAATATTTTATTGGTAGTTTCTACTAACATATTCATTCTAACAAGTTTGGTAACCCTTATGCGAATAATCATATAATTTTGAGTCCAACGCGTTATCCCTAACAAAATTGGTCAACAAGCCCCCAAACTCGCCTCATAGGGAGACGCCACGGGCGTCTCGCCCATGAGCTACCTATATAACTTTTGCTTTATCCTGTTGAGGATGGCAGGGTGGAAGATAAAAAGTGAAGAGCTTGGAGTTATGTCTACAGGACTGGACTTGATGAAGCTGGACCGAGGCATATTAATTGAATAATAGACATAAATGCAAAGTACTACAAATCAGATAAGAATACAGTTAAGCCATGAGTTTGTCCGCACCTTACATTGCACTTTGATCAGATAACTACGCTTAAGTTACAGTTACTGGTCCATATCGAACCCGGACCTAGGCCGATTAAAAAGGGTAGGAAAATGTATTCATTCCGAGTAGAAAGCCAAGGCAATAGCCCCAGAGCTCTACAGACATCATCGCGTCGGTAATGTTTATAACATCGTTAGAGGTAGGTAAATGCACAAACTCCCGATCAAAAGCCGCTTTCCACATACAACAGCACTAGCACCAGCACAGCAACGTCCCGCCCGTCAAGTCAAGACATAAAGAGGTGCTAATAAAAAATTATATCTTTTTTTCTCAAGCTCGCAGGGATTGGTTGTTAAAAAAAGATGTAAAAAGTTATTCTTTTTTGGTAGAAATTTTTCTTGTTGTTGTGGATGTTTTTTTTACTTTCTGATAGCACGCTGGTAGAAAGCAAGTTCCTCTCCTTCCAGGATATAACCGTCCACTCGTCCACTCTGACCAGGTCTGGAAGAAACGACAGCATACAATCGACCGGCCTCGAACTGCTTCTCAAGAGCAGGGTCAACTTTGCCCATTATGGCGAGACGAGCGGCCTGCTTCTTGGCAACGCTGTTGCTCTTCTTATCCTCGGAGGCATCGGCGGCCTTTTGCTGGCGTCGTCGGCCGAGGGGCTGGCCGTAGTGTGCCTCATACCATTGTCTGAATGGAGCAGCGTCAACTTGGACGACGGCGGATTTGGTGAGGGTGTTGGTACGGACGAGTTCGTTGTTGGAAGGGTGGTAGGCGACAGCAATCACACGGACTTTGCGGGAGAGACCCTCAGAGCCCCAGGAGAAGTTGCCGGACTCGAGACGGAGGGCACGGAATTTCTGGTTACCACCACGAACGCGGACGGTGTGGATGCGCTTGGGACCAATACGGGTGTTGGCTGCCTGACGGCCCTTCTCGAAAGCTCTGAAAGATGTCCACCACAGTCAGTCTCTTTTTATTCTCCCACGTTCTCTCCTCTTATTCCTTGTCCCTCCGGGAGAATTTGTTCCATACCTCTTCTTGCGGTAGTGAGCTCTCTTAGCACCGGTGGCCGAACGCTTGTGGCGGGAGTCTCGTGAGATACCCATGATTGCGGTTGATGTATTGGACTGTTAATTGCAGTTAGACACCCGTTCAACCAGATTAATTAAAACATTCCCTCCACGATCGATTCTTCGTAAAGCAAGTAGAACACGGCAGCCTTCTCTCCGTTCACGGTATCCCGACAGTCGATGTGTCGACAATGCGCAAAGAAAAAGTCCCTCCTCTTGAATGCCGCACAAAAAATCTCACGTCCACCACCAGAGCAACGAACTTGGACCAGCAAAACGGAAAGCAGGGTGCAAGAGAATCGAAAAGCTCACCTTGTGTTATCTTCGTAGTCCCTTCACCAAAAGCAACGCCGTGGGCTTATGTCGAAGGGGCGGAGATGTTGGCGATTGAATGAGCTTGTCGTCGTCGTCGTAAAACTGAATTTCGCACAGTCGCTTCGCTTACATTTTTTTTTTGCCCTACCTTTAGAAGACGCTAGTCTGTAAGTGGAATAGTGCATAATTTGGAAGCTTGTTAGTAACCATGAATTATACCCAGCGAAAGAGGAATAGCGTAAGAGTTATGCATATGAAAGCATGATCTATTTCTACTTATGTAAGATCTGACGGTTTAATGGAGGCAAGTGTGTTCATGTCATTTACTCATATTCATATCTATTCATATACCGGAAATGGGCATATCTCTACAGCATTGCATAAAGAGGGGAAAATGTCTAGATCGCTTGCCACGAAACAGTAAGGGGGATGGCGTGGGGAGAAGTGTAGACGGGGACCTGAGTGTTGCCAGTGGGGATCATGTCGGCATAGAAGGTGTCCTTGCCGCTAGCAGAGAGCTTTCCGTTGGAGGCCTGGGAGATGGTTAGTCGAATTACGTCTTTAACTGTATACGTAAAGAAAGGGTTTTACACATACTCCAAAGACAGTAGAGGTGACTCCACTGCCACACTTGAACTGTGCGTTGACCATGCCACAGGCACCCTTGCTGGACTTCAAGGTGAAGCCAGAGCCGGAAGCAGCGGCGGTGTAAGTAGCACAGGTTCCAGTGGTGTACCAGTTTCCAGTGCTGATAAGGCATCCATCCTCTTCACCCATGGTAGTGACGGTGAGATAGCCCCGGCCGGAGAAGATACCGGTGGGGGCGGGGCCACCGGGGGAGGTGGTGGTTGGCGGTTCGGTGCTGCCGCCATTCTTTGGAATGTATCTGATTCCAGTCTGAGGACAGGTGGATGGGGTGCCGCCTGGGGATGCTGGTTAGACATACGCTGACAACGTGGGACTATAGCTATAGACGTACCTGGTAGGGTTGGGATATATTCTCCAGTCTGGGCCGATCCACGGACGTTATAGAAGTACCAAGCCTCGTTAAGCGCACCGTTTCTGCAGTTGAAGGTTATTTCCATGCCAAACGCAGCCTTGACGGCAGCCTGCAGATCGCTGAGAGCATAAGTTTTGTCATTGCTTGGAGTGATACCAGCATCGGCGAGGATCTTAAAGAAATTGTATTAGATCATAACTCAAAACGAAACCAAAACACGTTGTTGAATATAAACCAACCTTGTAGGTGTTCAGACCCTTGAACAACTCGACGAGTTTCTCAAAGTAGTCTCCAACTTCCTGCTGTGGCATATAGTTCATGTAGCAGGACGTTTCGAAGGTGCTCATGCAGGTACCGTGCTTGTTCCACTCGTGCTCCCAGAAGCTTTCGTCATCGCCCTTGTAGTCCTTGAAGTATTTGTTCATGTAAGCGAGCAGCTCGTCTCGACCCTGAGCCTGAAGGATCTCGGTGATGTTGCTGTATTCACGGCCCATGTCACAGAATTGCTCGTAGGTGCCATCGCAGTTATCAGGCCTGAAGCATTTCGAATGTCAGCATTCCCCATTCTTCCTCATGCTCTAACGGAGAGAAGGGAACTCACCAGAGACCGTGAATGGTCCATGAATCATCAGGACCGGTGGCTGGGTCCGCATCCCAGAACTGAGTCTGAAGGATAAGACCGCCGGGCGTGTTGAAGCAGCAGGTATCCTCCACCGGGCCCGAGTTATGACAGCTTACCTGGCCGCCGGGAGGGCAAGAAGGGCCATCAGCGTAGACGCCAGAGATAAGCTGGGATGCTGCGAGCACCACGGCCACAGCAGATGAAGCCAGCATGGTTGTATGTAGTGAGTGTAGAGGGAGATACAATGTTGGGATGTCCTCAGCAAGCCATCTAGCCCCAGGCGGGAGCTCAGCTGCTTCTTATATATTGATCGCCCGTGATACAACGCCATCCTCTCTCTCTCTCTCCGCAGGGCGATCCATAGAACGGACTGAGCGAACCGAGGGCTTCTTCGCTTCGCAAAACCCTGGGAAGCACAACGCAGGCATCGACGCCACGGCCCTTACGAAGCCTTCTCCATCCCTTCCACCCCCCGTAAGCTGGCTTGACTCCTTCACAGCCAGTGCAAGCTGCATGTGGTTTTTGCTTCTTCGCTTTTAGCGTTCAAGGGGCGGACTTGCCCGTCTGCTGATCCAGGTCACGTGGGCGGGCCTTTCTCCCCTGTGGAAGATGATGCAAGGAGAAGAAGGAGAACCAATAAGTGAACAGAGACCCTTGTTGCCCTTGTTTGCGTCTAACACTCTATATATATATATGAACCGGGATAACCTCTTGCCGTGTCTACATATGGTACAGACGGGAAGAGGCCTTTGCAAAGGGTAAAAAGGGGTAGTAGATGCTCCATATAGCTCCATATTTATACGCCGTATCGGAAGAGAAAGATAACAAAAGAGAGAGGCTACAACCCCGCAACCACCATCAGTCCGTATCCAAGGGTTACAACAAGGCCGAAAGAGATGATGCTCGCCGGTACACCCCGTGTGATGAAGTGGCGGACACGGAGATAACGCTGGCCGGTCTCTGGGACTTCCATCATGACCGCAGCTGTACAGATATAATGTTAGCGAGGGAGGACACTCAAGACAAATGAACATGAAAGAGAGAGAGAGAGAGGGCTTACTCATGTTAGGGAAGCCGCTGGTGGGTAAACCCATCGCCACAGAGCACATCAAGGCACTACCCATCACCAGTAGGTTAGGATGTGGCTCGTTCATCCCCATACCCACCTCTCTGACCAGGGGTAGCAGAATCAACGCTGCCACTGTATGGGAGATGAAAGTTGCCACCACCAGAATCAAGGCCGCAAAGACAAAGAGAACCCCGTACAAGCTCAGCCCGGCAACGCCGCTCGTTATTGAGCGGGCAATCGTGTGCAGAAGCCCCGAAGAGGTGACCGCCTTCCCCAGACAGAGTCCACCGGACGCCAGGATGATGATGGTCCAGAGGAAGTTGTTGAAGTCTTCTTTTGTCAGGATGCCTGTGCCAAAAAACAGTACTAGGGGGAGAATGGCAATAACGCCCATGTCTCCAAACGTGCTCTCGAGCTGGTGGCTAACACACCATAGACATATTGTGCCTATCGTGACAATGGTTATGAACCACTGGATGCCCGTAAATTTGTCCTTTACAGGACGAATGGGGATGATAGTTGTTCCACGGCTTGGGTTGAAAGTGATCAGGAGAAGGATCCAGATGGCCAGAATAGAGAGGATGCAGATTGGCAATGCGATAAAGAACCACATTCCCCAGCTGATGGCAGGGTCCATGTTCTGCAACGCGATGATATTTTGAGGAGATGCGATTGGAGATGCGGCACCCCCAATGTTAGAAGCCAGGGCAATGCCGAGGATGAGGGCTTTTGAGAACCGGGAGTCAGTTGGTAGATTTCGAAGCATTGGCTGTAAGTGGGATATTAGCGATGACCTTTCAGACAAGCTGGTGAGCAGGCTGGACTTACTTGGATGATGGAATAACAGAGAACTGGGGCAGCAACATTGCTGATCCACATACTCAGCACCATGCCAACAAACATATTCGTCA